TTAGAGAAGCCTGTCTCGGGAGTGGTATTTTTTATATACTTGCATAAAATCAGGGTGAGATCTTGCCATATGTAGATCAACATTTCCAAGTTCTGTGGTTTTCAGTGAATTCTTACCTAGTATCACAGACTTCAAATCAGGTGGAGGCTAAGGAAAAAAAACAAAAGAAACCCAGATTTCAAATGTTTACTTGCCTTTACTTTTCATGTATGCATGTTAGAATATGTTTTGTTAATATGTTTAGACCTAAATTATGAAATCATTGATTAATTAGTGTTAATCAGTTGTTGATTTAACCTTTAAATAAATAATTAATTAATTTGAGATAACTAGAAAGTAGTAATAATTGCAAGTTAGTGTCTGGTATCCATCCAACTGCAATGATATGCAGGTGCAAATTGCACCAATTACCCTGTTGATAATTAATAACTCCTCTAATAGAAGAAAATTCACATGCATTTTTCTGCACTCTTCCACTGGAATAAGTATAGAAAGAAAGAGGTTCATAAGAAACCAAGTATCACCTCCAGCCACTGTCACTTCCCCCCCCCCCAACAGAGCAGTCATCCGAGGGACTTCAGATCTCCACGATACAGCAAATAGGTAAGACTTAATGATATTCATAAGCCCAGACTGATGAAAAGGTGCGTGTCTGTTTTTGGAGGCTGCTGTTCAGGACTCAGCAGATGGACAAATCCTCAATTTGGGTCATTTGAGTGGGGCAGTGGACAGCTAATTTAACACCCATCAAAGATAATTTGAGGGGTGGCAGATGTATGCTAGATGGGCTGTAGCTCAGTGTGTTACAAAGTATTGCTATAAAGGCATCAGTGAAGGATTTGCTCTGGAGGAAGTAGCAGTTCTGTGATTTGTCAGACAAACCACATTCTTCTGTGCCTGTGCCCTGTACTAAATTGCTGTTTGCTTGGGTAGCTTGCTTTGTATGTAATAGCTTTCTGACATACAGGTTTTTAAGACACTGAAGTGTTGCTTAGACTTTAATACATGTATGGTCCACCACCAGAGGAGGCCCTGGAGTTAGCTAACAGCACTAGTTCAACACAACATCCCTCCCAGATTGGTGAAGGAGGGAGGGTTGCTGACAACTGATGTGCTAATGAGGCTTGCGATGAAGCTGTACATCACAGGTCAGTGCCGTGGACCTCCGCCTGCATAAATGAACTGTGGATAACATTCACCAGCAGCTGTTATTGTTTGATCACTTACAAACACAGGACACGCTATTGAAACCAAATAGGCCTCACGCACATAATCAGCAGGGAGAATATAAATTCCCCAATTAGGTATTCTCAGCTGCCTGGGGGAGGGGGTGCTTGCTGATCAGGGGTGTGCCACATGGGTACCAAGATAGATCCCCAAGGTGAGACGTGAACAACTCTGCCTTACAGCAAGTCCAAGATACGCCCTCTTTTAAAAAAGATTTCAAACTGAAAAATAGGTCTGCCACATGTCTAATAATTCTGCAAATGTCACCTACACTGCCTTGCTTAGATACGTCCTTTAAAAACACAAGAGCAGCAGCGATGTTTTGATAAAATATTTAAAGAACTAGATCCTTATCCAAAGGTTATTGGTGGAGAGGCTGCACTTGATTTTCAGAACCCAAGATCCTGATTTCAGCTTTTAATTTCTATTGATATAACTCTGTTGCTTCTAATGGAGCCTGACTTTCCAATGACATCAAATATGGTCCGAAATCATAAGGGAAAACTATTTGCTGTTATTTTTCAGGCACAGTAGGGTATATCCAGAGATCTGTGAATACATTGATTTATGGTCTTTCTGAAAGTAGATTCTGATGATGTTAGCAACTGAAATCAACCCCTGTGAACATTTGGTACTCAAGTAATTCAAGCATGGAATTAATGCTGATATGAAAGCTATACCAAGCAATTCTTACCAAGTGGCAGTAAGAAGTGCCTTGTGGACATTTCTTCCTTTACTTTCTCCCTTTTTTTTTCTTTTTTTTTTTTTTTTTTTTTTGTTTGGGGTGAGTGTTTTTGTAGCAGCACAGTTTAAAAAAACCTTGCAAGGAGGTACACAGTAGAGTGAAATATTTTAGCAGAGGGCACAGTACAAAACTTGAGCCGCCTTCTGTTTTTTTTGGTAGGTTGGTTTGGTTTTTTTATCTATATTAGGAATAACTTTATTGCAGCTTTGTGTGTTGTTTGGCTTATGTGTGATGGGTTTTCCATACATGTATGTGGTAAGAAAGGAATCAAATTTCTTCTCGTATTGGGTATGTCAGTTTTTTCATAAATAACATATCATCACATCATATTATCAGTTTTACCCTACTGGCTGCATAGTTTTCTCTTTAGAAGCTGGGAAATTTGCTTATAGCCCTTAACTGCATCTCTGACACCTCATCCTACATTGTTATAGGTGAAGTCAGCAATTGCCTGCCTTCAGTCCCTCGCTAAATATGGAAGAATTAACCCATTCCTTACTCTCTTATCAGAATGTTTCATACAGATCTTTCAAGTTTGTAAGGGTCAAGCCCTTTAAAAAATCAATTATTTAACATGTAGCAGTGACAAAATTGATTTTCGCAAATAAACTATTTCTAAATTGCTAATACTTTGTCAAAAAGTTTATCCCTATGTTTCATTTCTATTTATTCATCCTGTCTTCAGATTCTTGAATTTATAAGCCCTTTTGTGCTGATTTATGTTTCCAAATAAGCTGTCTTTTTATATACAAGAAATAGTTTAGATGTGACAGTAAAGATACGGATTTTTTTTTTATAACAAATACTGTAGATACCACTAATTTAATAATCTTTTCTCCTTGCTCCAACAGGATCAAACCACTTAATATCAGTATTTAGCACTGATTATCTGGAATTTTATGTCAGTAATAACTGGCAAGTCTATTTTCTGTGCAGATAAAAATAAGTAGTACAAATAGAGTTAAGGTTAGAGAAAATACTTGAATAGGAGATAGTATATGTGAAAAGTACATGTTTGAATGTCAAACAATTAGAATGAGATTCTGGGATGACACAAACCATTATCGCTCCATGGAAATTAATAGACCTGTACCAAGTCACAGGAGTTGGGAATCAAAATAGTGATGTTAAGAGAAAAAGGGAGAACTGAGGATGGGAGTTGGAGTAGGCAGTGAGGAAGTCTGTAGGTTGCAGAAAAAATACACAGCAGAGATGACAGTAATCCTTCAGCCACTGGAATAATTTTTCTCTGGTTCTGTATGTCTAGTATTTGGCTCATAAATGGTTTCTTATACAGGCAAGACCATGAACTAGGTAAGAACACAGCTGACTTTGTCTCAAGTTAAAAAATACACTTAAATGGTCCAGCCACTGGATGTCTCTCTTGTTCTGCTTGCATGAATGATGACTGGCCTTTCAGAGTGAAAAACCTACCTCAGAAAGATAAATGGGTCAGTATGGAAAACCAGCTGTCCAATGCTGCCTGGCTAACTGAAATTATATGACACCAGTCCAACTCTCAACATGATAAACTGTAAGTACAAGATAGACAAGATTAACAGTTGAGAAATGTGTTTCTCATCCAGCTTCATCCTTCTCAGTTGTGCTATGCACACCTGTGTTAAATAACCTACTGCCAGTAACTAAATATTATTTGAGAAAATACATTAAAATCTGTAGTGCTTTTCTCGATACAATATGTGAGCAAATACTATGTTAGGCTGGATAGTGGAAATGCACCAGGTAAATTTTCTTTTTTCCTCCCAAGAGTTTCTGACTCAGGTCAGTTGAAGTTGGTAGTAACTTCAGCTAGACAAGAACCAGAATTCCCTTTTCTGGAAGAATCTGTACCTTCTATTTATTTCTCTATTCTGATACAGAATTGAGAGAAAACACATTCAGAACTTCACATGAAATCCTGTTCTGGAAAAGTAAACATTAGGAGAGACTTTTGGTTACCTGTGTGAGTCTAGAGAACAAGACCAGGTCTTTGTTTTGCTCAGGTCCATTGCTTAAGCAGTGGAAATCTTTCTGCATATGCATTATCAGCTCTTGTTTATTTGAGGTGTTAAAACTAAATGAATGCAGGAAAACACTTAAGAAATCCAAGGTTAAGAACTTCAAGGTCTCTTGACTCGTGTAGAATCAAAGAGTTTCATACTGCTTCATAGCACATAGCTTTCAGTGACGTGAAATATAGGGAAGAACAGAGTGAAGCCTAAGGCAGTGATTTCAGAAGGACCTATGAAGGTGAGTGCTGAGAATTTAGGGCTTCAGTGATTTAGCTAGGATAATACACGTGTTTGGGCTTAGGAAGGAATGTAATAGAGATCTTTAAGTTTCAAGGTAATGCGATGACTAGGTAATTTTTACATCTGTGTATTGTGAGATAGCATGTTTCCTTATATTAATACTATTTGTTTAATTCTTTAGGTTAAAAACTGACTTATAATACAAATTCTGAATGCTAGAAGCCTGGTATCTTTCAGAATTTTGCTGGATTTGTTTTCAGTATACCTGAAAGAACTTACATAACTTTTTACTTTAATGGTTAGCCAATATTTTAGCTCCTTGTTTATTTCTGTCAAAAATGTTGATATGAAGTGATATATCTTTGTGTACATTCTTTGTAATCAAGTGGGATTAAACTGAGGTCCTGTTTTCCTGAATGTGGCAGGAAAAAAGACAATAGGAAACAGCTCCTTTGGCAGTAACCCAAGCCTTTCTTTTCAATCAGCACTGCACTCAAGAAAACTCTCACTACCTCGTTTTCTCTCTGTGGAAATTCAGGATCATTCTACAAAGTGTTTCAGTGTTTTGGGGTGGGGTTTTTTTGTCTACATATGTAACATTTCTGACTGGGTCACACCATTTTGCTAAAATTATATACACACCTTTGTGTTCATATCCACATGGCTCAGGGGTTTTTTACTTGCCTGTCTTGTGGCTAGGGCTTGGAATGTGATACCTATTTGTCTGCGTCTTCTGTTTGCCCACAGTTATATTTCAAAACCATTTTCCTCTCTAGGACTACAAACTGGTTTCATTCCACTGTTTCCTGTCAGCTTTCTCTGTAGCCCTTAAGGAAAAGAGGCAAGGAAAGTGTTGCCTCCCACTTCTTTGTAAAAGGTGGGTTTATGAACCAATCTATTACCATAATTTGAAATGTGCTGTTACCAGTTCTTTTGAGCTTCACTTCTTTTCAAAGGACCTAAATGGCATTTGATCATTGAAGAAGTTTTGCTCTCTCGTCTCAGTGAAATTTGAAGAATATCAGAAGTGTTGTTTAACAGTCTAACCAAAATCTTAAACAGGGGATGTGCTCATTGCCATGTTCTTTAAGTTGAGGGCAGACAAACCTGCATTTTGCTATACTGAATATTTTAAGGCCTCTACTCCCTCTGGATTTTAGTTTTTCCAGGTTAGTATTGGGAAAGATCTTTGCCTAATCCTGATTATGTATAAAGACAATGATCAGAAGTGGTTATTTAGTGCAAGGGCCAGACTATATTGTTGTTATCTTAGACTAGTGAAATGCCTGGAGGTTTATTTAGTTTTGTAAATTAGCATGCAATTAGAAAAGGACTCTTGCTTTGAGTTTTTGGTGGGGATGTTTGGTTTTTACCCCCCGGCAAAATCAAGAATAAGCATCATCATAATGTATGGTTTCTTTGTATAGCTTTCAGATAGATTTAGAAATTGCTTCTGAGTTCATCATTAATTATCCTATACTGTATCTTGCAACAATATTTGTCATAGTGTTGTTAGAACCCCCTGTAGTTTGGATCTATTAAAACTCTGCTAAAGGACACATAAAGGGAAAGAGATAATAATGTACACAGATGAGTGCAGTTCAGGGCTCTAAAGTTCCAGTGTATTTTTAGACAAAAGCAAATGTCTAATTCAATAATTATGGAAGAAATGTGGATCTGTAATTATGGTTCATAATTAGAGAGGTCCTTTTCTGGTGCTTAATCTAAATAATGTAAAATATGTTAAGTTTCTGAGCACCATAGAAAAAAACAAAGCTGATAATGTAGGAAGTTATTGTGGTCCAGGGAAAGGAGAGGGGACCAGATTCTAAGATAGTGAAAATCAGCATAGCTCAGTTGGAGCTCTTTATTTCTATTGATGTACACTAGTTGAAAATTGGTTTATGACTTCAAGTTGCATAGAAACAAAGACAACCAAAGAAACTGTTATGAAAGTATCCATCTAGGAAGACATTGGGGGAAGAAAAATACAGTGAAAACAGAACTCTTTCTAAATTAAATTTACTATTAAATTTAATAAAGTTTCCTAGTGGGGAGTTCCTGAAAAATGTGGACTGAAATGTGAAGCAAACTTTGATTGCTCTTTTAGCTACCTTGGTGGTATATTTACAAGAACTAAATGTCTTTTTTTTTTTTTTTTTTTTATTCATTACTTCTAAAGAAGCTTTCTAGAGAAAAATACCCGTGCTTTATAACCACCTTAAGAAGCATTTGCTATGGTTGTTTCCAAAGGAACGGCTTCATAGTTTCATAAATATCAAAGTTAATAGGCTCCTGAAAACAATGAAAATTGCCTGTAGGTGATTTCTACTTATGCAGAAATAGCTACTCTCTGAACTGAAACTCACTATACTTTCTCTCTAGGCCTGTTACCTATTACAGCATACTTTGCTGTTCCTACTCCTTTAGCTGCTTTGAATCAACAGTGGGTAGAGCTGTACTTAAATGAAATGTACTTCAGGGTAAAACATGATCTAACAGAGTATAGAAAATAAACATTATTAAGCATAGCTTGTGACTGTAAGATCAGAAGCAGTCTAACGGCGACACATTTTTTGGGGGGAGGAATGCAATAGCTATGCCACATCATCATAAAGCCATACTTACGGCTGGCTTTGAAAAAAAGATAAAATCTTTCAAAAAGTGGCTTCCAGAATGGAGTCTGAAAAAAAATATTTTTTTCTTGTATGGAGTTGCTATTTGGTATGCAGTAGGACCCACTTCTCCTTTATTTTTGCTGCCTCTTTTTATTTTAATATGAATGGTGTTAAGACACCTAACAGTCTTAATGAGCAGCTTTTACTAAAGCTATAAAATCATTATTTTCTGCATAAATTGGTAATGTGTATAAGCCTCATAATGGTTATACTTGAAGAAATCAAGGTCCTTCCTCCCCTTACAGGTGCAGGGAGACCCAGCTGCTGGCAAATTAACTTACATTGTGCTTTACTCTTCTTCCATTTAATATGTGTGTTGTACTGGGGGTGCCTTATTATTAGACAGCTCACAGAATTATGCTTATGAAAGGATGTGCAAGGTATGAAAAGAGAGGCTAGAAAATTGGGTCTTTCTGTTAGGATTCCATAACAAGCTTTGAGTCCTGGTGGGCTTTCTGGTGCTGGAGCCTTAAGCCAGTCTAAATTCAGCAGAGTTGATTTTACAGAAGGCAGCAGGAGACTGAAACCAGACAGAGCAGAGCTGGTTTATGGCATGGGAACAACCTGGTGAAAGCTGCTGGCACTCTCCCTGTCACGACTGAGCTGGTTCCACCCAAGAAGTGCAGGCAAACTGTGATTTAGTTCGGGATATCTGCAACCCCATGTGGGGTGCCCATTAGATAGAAACTAAGAGGCCCTTGCCCTAGTCTTCTTCACTGTTCCTGGTTTTGATAATTTCATTTTATGTGTAGACAACTCTTCATCATGTTAGATATTTGTATTTCACATTCCTCAAGCCTCCTAAATTCTTTGTCAGTGGGGAAAAAACATTCATAAAGTTGTTTATCCACTGGCAAGTTTGAGAAATCTGTTATCTAAAGTTTCTTGCATATGAGCTTTTATCAAAATCTTTCTTTTTGAAAGACAATTCTAGAAGTACATTGTTACTAGTAACACCCCTGTGAGACTGGTTCCCTCTGGAAAATGTATGTCTCCTTAGAAAAGATGGTGAGATGCTGTAACTTAAGAGTGAGCTCTATTCCCTCAACTGCTGTTTTTTGACAAATCCATCCCTAATGCTGTGTTGCAGGGTGTCTGCTACAGGCAACAAATTACCCTCTCCCCCTTTCCCTCCATTCAACTGCAGTTGAACAAAGACCATCATAGAAACTTAGAGGGAGAAATAGAATTCAACATATATTTCTTCTAATCAGTAGGCACAATATAAAATAAAACCTAATCCCCAACTGTTCTCTCTTTAAAATGTGTGTCTCTTCTTTCCCCACTATGCTAGCCTGAAATAATGAGGCAGGAACCAACCACGCAGTTAGGCTGGCTCTGGTCTTCTCTTATTCTGCTGTGGCTATCAGCATCAAAATTTCTACTACCTCTCTCTTTCTTAATTTTGGGGGCACTTCTCTACCCTTATTCTCCTTCTTCCACTGATAACTCTCTCTTCCTCGTATCGCTCTTTCCTTTTCTTGATTCCCTGACAGCTTTTCAGTTTGCTCCACAGTGGCAGGACTGGACCTACAGTATATTTTTTTTCTGTTCAATAGGGGAGGTGCAAACTCAACCTCCTGTGGATTCCTCTGGGTGTTGTGTAATTGAATTGTTTAGAGTGTTAATCATCATTTGATTATTCTGACATTCTTGATGAAAAAATATGTACATTAAAATCATAATGTAATTACAGCATTTGCTTTTAGCATGAATGTTTTTCTTCTCATTGACACTGAAATTATTTAATACTCCCAATATTTATGTATTATTTTGACAGATACTGCAGTGGGCTATGAGCAGTTTTAAGGTGGCACAGTTTACTCCATGCAGCTTAAAAACAAGGATTTTTCCCCTCCTGTCTTGCCCCATCACATTTTATTATTAATGGACACATTTGAACTGTCAGCTTTCCCAAAGCCTTGGTATATGGGCTGAAATGATCAGATTAATTTAGTTGCTTAACCATGTTATTGCTAACTAGGACTGAACACCCTCTTGTTCTTGCTTTATTTTTTTCCTAGCAGTCCTTCTGTTTGTTTGTGTTGGGTTTTTTTGTGTTTGTTTTGTTTTTTGTTTTTGGTTTTGGTTTGTTTGTTTGTTTGTTTTGGTTTTTTTTGTTGGTTGATTGTTTTTTTATTCATCCTGTTAGTTTATACATAAGAATTCCAAGCTGAAATTGCCTGTAATGTGGAAATGTAGGCTTCCAGGAGCTGTGTGGGCTACAACTGTCGGGAGGCAGGATGCTAAGATGGCTCAGCTGGCAGGTTAATGAAGATTGTCATGAATATTAAACGATAAAACCAAAACAAAACTTCCAGAGAGACACTTATTCACAGCAACATGACCAGCTCAGACAGCTGGCTCTCTGTAGACTTTCTTGAAAGAAAACAGTGCTGAGGCTTATTAGGATGATTTTTATAAACCGGAAGGCAAATTTGTGATGCACTGTTTAAAAGTTAGAAGTCTTAATGATTTATAACCTGGAGCAGAAATCTGTTTTCTGAAGTAGATAAATAACAAGAAAATTATATCTGTGCTGTTCTCATTTTTATTAAGAGTTTCAGAATATTTCTGAGCTTTGTGCTCGCTAAAAATGTGTACAATGGATAAGCCTGACTGTTAAAGTTCATACCAGCTCTCTGGTGTGCAGCTGTAATCCCGCTTCTTCCTCTGAAGTTCCTCTATCCCTTTTCTGTTCTTTTTTTTCCCCTCTGGAAAGACCACATTGCAGGGCACAGAATAACAAACTACAGTTGGTTTTGTTTCTTTCTTGTGATTTGTCCGAGACAGGGTAAAACCTTGCTATTCAGAGAGTTCTTCCTTGAGCTCCACTGGTGTAAAGCTAGCTCCTGCTGCATGGAAAATTGCTCCAGCTCATGCAAAAAAAATAAAATTCAAGAAGCTTGGATTTATTTGAAGTAACACCAACATAGATCTGGGATGATTCCATTAAGAGCACTGCAGTCATGTTCTGTTTCTAAAAGGATATCTAAAGGTGAAACATTCTCTATAGCCTAGAGAGTAATCTTCATTACACTTTATAAGTTGGGGTCAGATTCTTGCACATAACTTCATTGACTTCTATGGTTTTGTAAATTTATACCAACTTAATGTGTGGTTTAGTGATTTTCAGATACCAAAAGGAACAAGCTGAAATAACAGAGCAGGTTTTCTCAGATAACTGCATGTAGGCACAATCCATTTTGTGGTGTTATTCTGAGTTTAAAAAGATAAAGTAAATCTAAACTATTTTTAGGTGCGATGAGTCAGTCTAAATGGGTTGATGGAAAAAGATATAAATGAAAGGACAGTCCAGTTAGAGGAAGTTATGGAGAGTAATGCTTTTATATAAACATTCTGCAGAATTCATTTGGCTTTCCAAACCCTGTCTGTAAATCAAGAAGTGCTTTCCAGTGGCTCATGGAGACCTCTCTAGTCATATGGTGCTAGTTGCCTTTGTTTTCAGTTCAATTGCATTAAAAACAGAGTATATTTTTTAAAGTAGAATTTTAAAGTATTTACGTAAATAATGCTGCGGTTATTTCAGTGCTATTATGTGACTCTTAACAGTGTATGCAGTCAGAAATAGAAGTGGCCAGCAGGTTCCCAACTGTGAAGAAAACACATTCAATGAATCAACTGTTCAGCTAGTATCAGGACAACCCCTGATTTACTTCTGTTGTTCTTAAATCAAACAGCCTAGTGGAATGGGAGTGATTTTTTTAAGGGTAACATAAACCTGATATATTTAAAAGACTTAGTTAGACTAGCTTATATTTGTGTTTTCATAGTACCATGAGGAATTTACACACATGCTGTCAGGGCTTGCAATAAGGTGAGCTACAGTATTGTGGAATAATAGTTTGTAACTATTTCCCTATGTATTAAAAGTTCCCATTAATAACCTATTACTTTGCGAAGCAGATACAGCTGACATAATTATTCAGATAGCTTCTTGCTTAAGATTTTACTTTTTTTTTTTTCAAGCTGAAAAGCTCCTTTAGGTACTTAGGGAAGTTCAGGTTAATGTATCTTAGTCTGCAAAGTGTACAAACAGTTACTTTGGGATTAGGGGCTCATTTCTTACTTATTTGAAATATCTAGTCTATTTTAACATAAACTAGTGAAGCCTAGTGGATGAAAAGTTTACCTCTAGCTTCCAGCTGCACCTTCATTTTGCACATTTTGAATGTATCATTGAAACTCTTCACAATGTTGTGAAACACCTTTTATACAATGTCTTAAAGTGGCTGAGCCAGAAATACTGTTGGGGCCCTCATGGTTTCTACCAGTATTTCAACAAACAAATGGCGTATGCACTTATAGGCAAACGCCAAGTGATGACAGACATGGATGAACATGGGTAAAATATACTCACTTTAGCTGAAAGATGAAGCACCACAAAGTGGCACCTCTTTGGAGTCAGGAAACTAAAGATAGAGCTTCAGAAAGTAGCATTCTTGATGTTACAGTCATCTTAGGGTCCCACCAGCCCAAATGTACAACCAGCATTACCTTTTTCAGATGGCTGAAAGTCCCGTGAGGGATGAAAGACAAAGGGAATTCCAGGGAAGCACCAGCTCATTTAGCAGCCAGGAAACCTAGCATTAAGGATTGCCAAGTTGTTGTGAAGCTGAGAGTTGCACCTTCATCTCTGTGTCCCTGGTCACCTCTTCAGCAGCAAAACTCCAGCCTTCTTTCTTAAATGAGAACGGGCATCGTTTAAAAGCAAAATGAGAAAAATTGCTGAGTTATGAACTGAATAGCAGCAGTGTGATTTTCTATGAATCCAGGCACCTGCAAAGTATCAAAGCCAAAGGCATCAGTATTTTTGAAAAATGATACTGAGGATGTCAAGCAAGGAGCTAGCAGTCACGAACTGTTTAATTCATGCTGATTTTCCCAGAACTGTATCCAAGGAGGATGTCTCACTTTTCCGTTCTCAAGTTCAACCTTATCTCTGAGTGCATCAGCAACATTCACCTCTTCAGAAACTGTACTCTCCCGTGAGTTATTCATAATCTGCTGCTGCTTCTCATAAGTAGAATTTCACTCACCTTCCTTCTCTCTGCCTCTCTTATATTCCGTTGATATGCTGATGTCTCACATATAAACCTTTCAGCAGCCTGTTTTCTTCCACCTCCAAGGCATGCTAAACCCGGAGGAGACCAGTCAGAAGTATTTACCCTTGACAGCAGTAGTTTAGGATTATATGTAATATTTAATCTGTAAAATCATGGAGGCTGAGCACATACTCAGACATCCCTACTATGCGTGTGTTCTTAAAATCCTTTCAAGTCCACTAAGATTGATAGGTTGGTCTTTTGCATGCTAATACTGAGAGCTTTTCAGGTATCCCTACAAGATGCCGTCATAATTTCATTTCTGACTGCCATTTTTGTTGTGTCAGAGATCAAAACGGCAGGGCGTTATTTCTGACCCATTCAGTTTAAGAGATATGTGGAATAGGGTATGTTTTAGAAAGACTGTAAGACTGTTGCCTTTGTCTAAATTGCTGGATCTGTCTGTTGTGTTTCTCACATACATGTATGTTTGTCTTTCTGTAACACAAAATACATCTCAAATGCCTTGAAAGTCCTACTGTCCTATTTTTAAAAAGGATTGCATAGTTATTTTAAAGTACAGAGAACGGTTAATCGATAAATAAGGAAAAATCAGTGATATTCTTGAGACACTTCCAAGCATAATGTAGAACACAGACATGTGACCTAAGAATACAATCTCAATTGAAACATGTAATCCCTTCAGTTAACACTTTTGCCATAAGTATACTTAGGTCTGATGCACAGCTGCACAGTTCTGCAGTTCAGAATGAACACTTTGCTTTTTGTGGAGCAGTATTTATTCTTTTTAATGAGACTATGTTTTTAGGAGCTTTGCTCAAACATAAAAATTAATAAAGGATTAAATGTAATGGATAAGTGTGAGTTACCTGAACTTTATCTGTGATCAGATAGACAGCACTGCAGTGTAAAATAAAGCTGCAGCCTCCAATGAGAAGAGCAGCCTCCTAGGATACTCTTGATCTGCCACAGCTATTTTGTGCCAGTTACTGGTTTAATCCATAAAGTTATTCTCCAGGCAGTTAACTGCTTGGTAACTAAGCTCTGCCTGTCCCACACCACTGATTTTATCTCTGCAAAGGAGCACAGAACTAGGCACATGGAAGTTTTCACTTCAATTGCCATTTAATTCTGTCTGCCCAAAGTGGCTGAAACAAATGCTATCTCTAAGGGGTTTTTTCATTCAAGATTCTGTTGTCTACAAAAGAAGGGTCTACATTCAGACATTCCTACAAGTTTAGGCCTGTTTGTATTCAGTTCATGTGTTTGACTTTTTGTAATCAGTCTACTGTCTGTGTTGTCATAATCTCTAAAGCCCAAATAGATATGCCAACAAGTATACTCAGATTTTCACAATGCAAGGGTTAGATCTAAGTCTCTGCTTTATCTGCTGCCTTTGCACAATATGAGAAAACTTTCAGCAAAATCTGGAAGGTAAAATACAGACATTGGGACATCAATTTCCTTTTTCAGAGGGGTTTCTTTAAGTTGAGTGAAAATTATGTCGTATTTTGATTTTTCTTGGATGGTTTATCTCCAAGATGGCTTGCACTCAGATTCTTCTAAACTTTTTACTTCTTGGTAGGATAATGGCTCACATCAAGAAGTACTCCAGAACACAGTAATCTGAACACTGATTAACAGTGCAGAATTTCTGATGGCAACAACTACAAATAACCTATGGGAAACACTAATAGGAATTGTTTATTCAAGAATACTTCCTGTGGCTCTGCAGTTCATCCAGGTGCACAAACTCTGTTTTTCACAGAACATTAATCTCGGTTTCTGTTATTTTGGATTTGTCAACAGATGACCCAAGCCAAGAAGATCTAAGAGTAAGTTTTGTAAACAAGTAAATTAGGACTCACACCTTCTACTGAACAGGAAGAAAAAAGCCGCAACAGAATGATTACATTGTGATCATTGACCTATTTGACAGAAGCAAAACCAGAAAGCATTGCCTGTTATCAGACCTGCGTGTACTGCTCTGCCAAGACTACTTTGTCAGTATAAACTCCCAATAACACACTAAGATTCATTCTCATTTCCCACCTATTCTGTTTTCTGGGCTAGGGTTTTTTTGATCATGCTAAGATCAAAACCATGCCTATGATACTAGAGTACTTCTAGGAGTGATGACCACCTGTCATACAGTTAGTTCTTTGAGACTCTGATTGAATAGAGTGGAAAAAAAAAAACCCACCTTTTGATATAGCGCTGATTTTTCTGTCAAAAGAGTCAGGTAGATTCTGTATTATAACTATGCGAATCAGCATTTACAGATAGGGCTCTGAGTGAAGTAATTATTCCAAATCTCAAAGTTAAGGGGTTTTTTTAGTTTGTTTTAATCAAAGCATTCACAGACAAGGACTGATTTTCTTTGAAAACAGCCATTCTGTATGTCATGTAAGTAGCGTTCAGGTCATAGGATCGCGTGTATTTTACTTTATCTGAATTACTACTCATGGTGCATGGATTTTTAATATAAATTGCATGGCTTGTATATCGTTTCCCGTACGGGCAGAAAAATGTTAAGCAAAAGTATAGATGGATGATGGATAACAAAGTGTATAATTGTCATCACTGTATGTCAGTTTTGGGGACTTCAAGATGTCCCTGACAATATCCAGTGTTCACCCGAAAATATGCAAATACTAATCAATCAGAGCTACCTAATACATCTTAGTGATGTGCAGCTGAATCCTACTGAATGGCAGCTTTTTCACTCACAGAAGCAGTTAGAAGGTTTTTTTAATTTTTTTTCCTCTCAGTTTAACCAAATCAGCTAAAAAATTAGTGTTGGACTTCCTACACAAAACTTCACATCTCTTCGGTTTTCTCTTCAGCAGATGCAAATTACATTGAACACATTTCAGATATTTATTTATAAAAGAGACTGAATATATTTGTAAAAGTCGGCTAAACCACTTCTTTTTTTCTTGTTTTCTCTCCTGCACCATCAAATGAGTTCTACATGTTCTTGGGAGCCTTACAAGGGAAAAATCGCAGCAGTTAAATGCTTTTCCAGATTATCATTTGTTGAATATGTAGCCCAATGGTGGTTTTGAAAGAAAAGTTAAAGGAGGTGATGTACAAACCGTGTTGAGGCTTCTCCCATTCCAAAGCACTGTACTTAAACAGATAATACTCTCTTAATTTTTACTGAAATGTGAAAGTCAAGCAGGTCTGACAAGTGATCCTACATGGATTCCTATGTTATTATGAACTCACAGCTGATACCAATAGACCACAAAGAATATTAGCCTAGGCTGCAGTTTTCAAAGAAACACAAGGCCTTTTCTGTGTAAGAAAACTACTACCAAAAATGAATCACTTAAATCAATGAAACGCTCCTATTTTGGCAAAGGGCCACAAAAAGGATGGTGTCCATATACACATTACAGGTAGGAAAGAAGTAACTTCAGTTTATGTCTAATCCCAAATTCTTGGAAAAATCTAGGCCACTCAATCTGCAGGATTCAGAGTACCTGCATTCTGGCAGGTGGTCTTGTTGAGATTCGGATGCAATGACTAGTAACTATGACTAACAGCTGCTAACATACCTTACACTTTCTTAGTATGATTTCACTTAACTGCCATCTCTACAATGGCAAAAATAAACAGAATACTTTCATCTGCATTTCATAATCCCTTTATTGAATTTTGGTTGCCTGTATTATTAGTCCTGTTGCTCCAGTAGTTAATCAGCAAAGTCCTTCTTAAAATACAGATGATAGAATCTATCCTGTCACAGAAGTTAGTCAAATATATTAGGAGCAAAGTGAGGGACTACTGAAAAGCGTGCCAGGTGGGAAACAGCAACTTGGGCTATGCATCCTCTAACCAATGAACCCACCTGATAATTCTTAACATTCTGAATAGTAAACTATGATTAAATATTAAAGTAAGGTAATGCTTGGTGCAGCAATTCATTAAAACCGCAGACCATTCGAGCACCTATGTTACGTTAGCAAGATGCAGATTAGAAGCAGCACAGCAAAAATACTGACATTTTACCTGAAAATGTTATCTGGAAGCAGCAAGTAAATCAGAAATACTTCACTCTCCAAAGGAGGTGTGGAGTAGGAGGGCTACAGTGGGGCTTTACACAGCTTGCTTGTTCTGAGTGCCATTTACAGATAGGGAGGGCACCTGTTTTACTGAAATAATACAGAGGTCAGGGAATTGCAGCTGACTGAGAAAACACGGATAGCATACAATTTGCTTGTTTTGAGTGCAATGTATAGATAGCGAGCACACCTGTCTTACTGGAATAATAGAGAGGTCAGGGAAATGCAATTTACTGAACAAAACAACCACAGCAGACAGTTTGCTTTTAAGCAAAATAAATTCTAGGCCATTGGCAAGTAACAACTTCAGACATAGAATAGTGTCATTAAATTAACACTAAAAGAAATACTTTAGTACTCTGAATTTATTTTTAAAAAGTGGTCCATGAAAACATTGTTAAGGATTTATGCCTACTAAAAGTCTTATTATCATAACACTATTCTATTGAGTGGGAACCTCAAGTGAAATAGCCTAGGAAGTGATTAAATATGAGTTCTTCAGTTCCTAAACTGAACTGAAACCAAAAAGGAAACGTTTTGCATTCTAAAATGCACTCAGTTGTGATAAACTTAATAACAGAAAGGAAGGACTAGAGCATCTCTCTCTGGTCACAGACACGAGTGAGGGTGTGTTGGATTCACAAGGATCTTGTGCAACAAGAGTGGGGTTTATATCACCATTTGCTGTTGCAACGGGAGGGTTTCTTCACTGAAATTAATCCAGAATTTAGTGATCTGCTTTGAGATCATCAAATGTGAATTTCATAGTGGGAAGAGTAAAAGAAGAGGCAGAATAGTAACTCTAAGCCACTCAGTGGTGATGAGTTACAATCTACCTACAACATTTTTGAAAAGCAGATGGATATGCTGATCCCAGATGAAGCCAACACTATTACAGTAACCACAGTAGCACAGCTACTGAAGCTGCCCCATAAGGAAGCATGCAAGGAAGAGGAGAGGAGGGAAGAGGAGAGGAAAAAACAGTAGGCATTGAAAAATTATTTGTGGAATGCTGGCAAAAGAAAAACCATCATTACCACCAAACCCACATGCATTCCCAGAAAGATAGCAGGTACACACCTATACCTGTGGTCAGGCATCATCAAGGGGCTAACTCCCAGCTGCTGCTGGTATCTAATCAAAAGGTCAGCAGTAATAATAATAATAAAAATAATTCTCTGAAGCAATAGTATTTTCTTAGATGCTAAATGATTTATTCCACCCCAGAGCATGGTCCAACAGCAGGGGGTGACCCATGGAGTCCCCTCCTGCAAATTAAGTTGTCTAATGGTAAGACACAGAACAAATTTAGTGTAAAATCTGTAACATTGTGAAAGAAAGGACAAATTAATAGAAACAGCTTTTCTAGTTATTCAACTGACAGGCAGCTGGCCCCTGCAAACCATAAAGTGGAAAATCATCTAATAAAGTCTTTTCTTCCAAGAAAATGGCCAAAATGCTAAAGAAACAGAACAAAATATGGAATTGTATTTTTCTTATATTATTAATACAGAATTGGGAGCAGGTGCTCAGTTTTTCCATGTCAATTCAACCTGTCACAGTGGCAGATATATCCACATACATGACAGTTTACATTCTACTTAAGTTAATGAGAGTCAGTAGTTAGCAGCAATTTATATAGCACATGCTTTTACAGTCCTCTTGTTGCTGAAAGACTGCCAGAGGAACCCGATGGAGGGGGTCTGCTTTCACCCTACAGGATCTGCAGTTTTATATTAAGTTAAAAGGAGGAGGAACGGGTAAATGCACACTTCATTGCAACAGCAATAATGAAGCCAGAGTAAGAACAAAAAAAACCATAACAAATTAAAAATGAGAGCTGAAATTGCAAATACAAAGATGCTAACTATCCACGGAATACTAAACTGCTATAATAAACTGGTGCTGTAAGAGTATGTGGTAAACAGTGGGCTATCATTTCCTTTTTTTTGTCAGAAAAGAGTGGAGGAAGCTAGAAGGAAATCATCATAATCTAATATAGATGACAGCTTTGACAATTACTTTTAAAAATTAAAGTGTCATTTATTCAAAACTAACAAAATAATCTTAATTAAATATCACATTGGCTCTCATGGGGAAAAAAGGTATTTTTTTTCTTCGTTTACAGCTGTAGGCTTTGCATAAATAATCCACAGTAACTGCATTTTAAGAGACTGAGTGGTTTTATATCCAGTATTCTCAAACCTATCAAATATTAAATCCCACAGTGCTTTTTTAAAATGTAAGCCTCTGTTACACCTGTTGTGTACGTGTGATACCTATACTCACTTGAAGCGCAGATGATTGATGTTAGCTGGTCCAGATAATGCATTCACACTTTTCCAATGAGTGGGAAACAACTTGTGATTTACAAAGAGACCAGTCATGTTTCAACTACTAAGAACTTATTTATATCTTTTAAGGAATGTAATTTTACATTACACACTTGTAAACGGGGAAATCTAGGCAGAAAGAACTTTCGTAAGAAATAAGCCCCATAATTAAGAGCAAACAGCCCAAATGCATGACACTAAAGTAGGTGTGTACACACATGTATATTTTCTAAACATAAAATTGACTCATGGTAGCTAGTTGTTGTAACAAACTGCAGAAAATAGGGAGTCAATCTAGTATTCTATTGTGCCTCTCCCTAGGCATTCTCTAGGTACAAAAATGTTCCTCAAAACTCATCTTTAATGTTGAAATGTGGCTGATCTTCAGGTTTAAAGTCTAGATTTGGGCTTCCATCCTCATTCAGAATTCGTCGGGAAGTATAGCCAACAATTGGATATTTGGCCTTATAAACATTATTGAAGATATCATCCAGGGACTTCAGCTCCTCTTCTGTGAGTCCTGTCTAAATGACATATGGAAGTGAAAGTCCTGTCTCAAAGAAATAAAAATCCAGATATTTACATGCATTTTTCTTTTTTACTGATTACTGTAATCCTTAGAGTCAGTTTTTGGGTTTACTTTGCAGAGCATGATTAACAAAACTGATAGTATAACCTGTAAATTTATTCTTTTTATTCAAAAAATTTAGCCTTGACGAGACTTTAATATATTCAGGTCAAACAAACCGTTAATCTCCCTTCATTTTCCCTGCATAAATGAATCACACCTCAAACAAGCAACAACTCACTGCCAGAGTTAGTATCCACTGCCCTGTCAGTGATCCAGGATGCACTAAATCAATTGACAAAGTGATTTACTTTCTCTGGAAGCATCTTTTTAAACAGTAGGTAATTTCCCCTTTACATGCTTACGTAAATTGTATTGACTCCACAGAGGAAAAACTTTCCTCTAAGGCTATTAGCACTGCACCTTTAGAGAGCAGTAAATACAGATCCATTTTATGTATTTGAAGACTACGAATGCATTTTGCTTTTAAAGATGTGAATCATCTTAAACAAATCAGTACAAATAATTTAATATTATCATTCATCATCTTGAAAAAGAATAAAACTTTGCACAATGGCATTAAACTAATAGTCCATTTTCTTACTATGTCATGTGTAAGATCTGCTGGGTCCAGAGACATCTTTGCAACTCCTCTTGTTGAGTCTTTTCCAACCAAAGCATTGTATGGGGCTCCTTTTCCATAAAATTCTGTCAGATCAGGAAAAAAAATAAAATCCAGTGATGATCTGACAATGTACAGGGTGTAGTCAGCCTCTCCTTTTCATCAGCCTGTTACACTTGTCAGTGAACCAAAAGCAACAACTGGAGTCTAAGGCTCTTCTTTCCGAAACTGAGTTTTGACTTGCTACTTTTTGATAATATATCCCAGTCCTTAAAAAAAAAACCCCAAACCTACAAAAAAAAACAGAGGGTGTCGTTATACAATACAACTGTTGAACTCCTATACTGTGGTCTTAAAATTTACCTATTATTCAGGGAGCTGTGCTTTACGTTCTCATGAGAGGTTTGTGGACTCCAGAATTTGCAGTGGCAAGACATGTCTAATTTAGGATTTGAAGATCAGACAATGTGCATGTCCAGACAAGCTACATTAATGAGCTTAGTACAAACAAAGCAACAAGCCATTAGTTTGCTTAGGATGACATTAAGGCAAGTGTCCAGGACCCCCATGGTCTCTTCAAACATTTTACAGCACAGCTGGATTAAGTACCAGGAGTTCAGATTAAAACATCTGCAGTTCTTTGGGAAGGCACAAACAGCAAATACAGCAATAAATGATTTAAGTGTAAATAATCAGACAAGAAGCCTCATGAAGTAAGAAAATTTTCAAGGAGAAAAAAATGACTTAGTTCCCCACCTTCCTTCCAGAATCACAGTCAACTCTTCCAAGAGTTTTGACCAGGCTGTGGGTCAGCACGGGTAGGCAAACACTAGCACAGAAGGCAAAGATGAAGCTGCAGCAATGCTGATACTGCGTAGTGCAGCACAGGTACAGCCAAGTTACCTTCAATCTGGCCAGTCATGTACCCGGGGCAATAAAATGCTGTAGCAGCAGCTTCTATGGGGCCTGACCCCCCCATCTGGCAAGGACTCGGGGGTCTGGGTAGGTGTCTTCAGCTCTTCTGTCGTCAGTGCCCAAACTAACTGGCCTACGCTGGCTCATCCGTCTATGCATACTGTAATCTCAAACCAGTGTAAGTTCTAGACAAAACCTTAATGGGGAAGTGTCAGAGGAGGAAAATCGAGTTTTTAAAAAAAGGAAAAGGTATATTGTTTTTGTTGCAAATGCACTGCAGGCTCCTGATACACTGGGAATATTTAAAAACAAGCAACTAAATAATAGCATGAAAGCAAAGCAGACAGCAGGGGAGAAGCAAGCTCACCTTTTCCAGAAGTGACATCAAACACTACTCCCTTCACTGCCAGGTAAATGGGTTGTCCTTCCTGGAAAGCAAGCCATCAGTGTATCCTCAACACTTCAGCGTAAGCAAAGGCAATTAGTTTTAGCTATGAAATCCATTAGCACTCGGAACACTATGAAGAGAATTAAATTCTCTGTTGTACGAGTGCTCTCGTTTGTGTGTGTGTATACAACCATGCGCGTTATCTCTCTTAAAATTTCTCACTTGTGCTTTAAATTGTTCCTTTTTTTTTTTTTTTTAGGATTTAAGCATATGGAATGAGAGAATCTTTTTAATCTAAACATCACAATCACAGAAGACATTACCCTTTTTCAAGTCTCCTTGTCTGCACACTCATCTGCTTGACGATAATCAACTGCATCTTTCTATTCCTAATGCAGATGTGTATTGCACAAGATAAAAGGGTGTATGCCCAACAGCATTATTTGATTAAGAGAACAACAGATAAATACATAAACACACACAAATCCGATCTGCTGACATCTGGTTTACTTACTAAGCCAGTGCTTCTACTTTGTCTTTTATGCATAAGACGTGGTTTTAGTCAGATGCTGGTTAGTTTCTTGAAAGTATCTAGAGAAGACCCTGAGAAGGTCAGCCAGAAAGTTTTTCAAAAGAGGACTGATGTGTATCAATACAGGACTTTATAGTTTTGAATGTCAAGTTCTGCAGACTTTTCTGCATCACAGGAAGCTAAAAATGCTTAAATGCTTTGTTACTTCTATAATATTGGCAGGGAAAAAGAGGGTGTAAATACATGGTTTAATGAATCATTGAAAGAAAATTACTCTGGCTGCAGTTTATGGTAAACTGAAATGCACTGGCATGACTACCTCGGCAAGCAGGCAACGAATAAAACAGGAACGTGCCATCTAATTGCCTGTACACAACTTCAACGGACCAAAAGCAGCAGCTGCCAGCACGACAGAGGAACAGCAGGCCAGCAACACGCAGATCCCAACAAACTTCTCCCCCGTGCCTACAAAAGCAAGTTATCCCCTCGTTACGGCGAGGGAGGGAACAGCACAGCAGCAGAGCAGGAGCAAACCGAGCCGTAAGGTGCTTTCAGGGCAGGAGGCGGCGGTGGGGGCTGCGCGGTGCGACCCCAGGACGTGGGTGTGTGGGTGTGTGTGGCCCCGGCCCCGGCCCCGGCCCCGGCCCTACCTGCTGCCCGGCGTAGCTGGCCAGCTCGGGCTCGGTGAAGAGCCGCACCGGGGCCTCGGCCGGCGGCCTGAAGCGCAGCTCCGGCTCGGCCGCGGCGGGCAGGGCGCCGAGCAGGGCGGCCAGCAGCACCCGCGCCGCGCCGCCCGCCATGCCGCGCAGGACGGACGGGCGGACAGACAGACGGACGGCCCCGGCCCCGCCTCCAGCCCCCGCCGCAGGCAGCCCCGGGTCCAGCTCGTCCCCCCGCCCCGGGGCAGCCGGGCTCGGATGGCTCCCCCGGCGCCTTGGTGGTTTGGTTGAAGAAAAGTTCGTGGGCAGAGGTTAAGGCGAGGCGCGCACGCACGGAAATGCAACAACAGCTCGGAAAACTACTCCGAGGGGCCCGTCTCCGGAGGCCCGGGGCGGCGGCTGGGGAGCTGCTCCGGGCGGGGTGAGCAGCCTGACAGGCGTCTGCTGCTAAAAGATACCTCCGTTCCCTCCCTCCTTCCCCTCTGAAGTTTCTCTGCTTGCTGGTTTAAACGTTGGTTCACAAAATCGGCACACGTAGGGCAGGCTTCGTCTTTATGGCTTAAACCAGCAAAATGACATCTTTAGCCTAAGGAAGGAGAGACTAAATAGGAAATTTTTAAATGACACGATTTCCCCACGCTATAAATACAGCACAGGAAAACTGGTAGAAGAATAAGCACTTTGATGTTTTTAATTATATTACTTTATAAACTTTTAACCATTTAGATAGACATATCACATCCCTCACTGTAGTGCTGGCAAGTGTGGACTTGAAGGATTTAAAGCCTGGATGTTTGATGCTGTAGCACTCAGCCTTCCTGACCACTGTGCTGTAATTCAAGTCCCTACCTGGTATCTCTGCTTCTTGTGCAGGGCGTTACAGAATCTGAACAGTCCAGAGAAGGATCTGGACAGTAAATAGGAGAGAGAAAGGAGTTTGATCTTTGCTTGAAGGATTGTTTATAAACTCTTTTTGCATGAAATCCATGAGTCCACCCCAGAGGATATGTGCCCCACGTTGCCTGAGGTGACATCCTTTTCCACAGGCTGTCCGAGGACAGTTCAGTCCACGGGTTTAGCAGCGCTGAAGTAGCTAATCCACAGCAACATCTCCATAGTCCCCTTCTCAATGACAAACGCAGCACGAGAGGAGGGATGCCACCGCAGCATGGGGGTGATGACAGATGGGCCACATCCCCTTGTGAGGAGCTGGGCGAGGCCTGCAGGGCCAGGGCACGGGGAAGGTGAGTTGCTGCGGCCGCCCAGGAGCTGACTGCCGCAGGCAGGGCTGGCGCAGCAAGCCAAGTGTTGGTCCTGTTAGGGTGAAGGTTTGCAAGGTCGGTACTGTGATTCCCTGTAAGCCATGAGGTTTGCTTACAGTGCCTAAACAGTAGCTGGGCTTCAGAAGGGGCTCCCCATCCTGGCTGGCCATTTGCTGACTCCACACACCACGAGACAGATAGGAAATGTCAAGCAGAAAAGAGACCTTCAGTAGGGCTTTGGACACAACAGCCCCTGAATGTTCCCGTTACGCACAAGAGTGAGCGCTGGCATTTGCCTGGTTACTCTGCCTGCAAACACCCTGCATGGCTTGCCACAGAGACCCACACTGCTGGGAAATATACAAAACTCTAATTTGTCAGTTTGGTTTAATCACATTATAGATTTACCTTTTATTCTGAAATAATTATTTACTAGCATCACTCCAGGGCTGGGCTGCAAGTGCTGAATACTAGCCAACACCTGCCTGAAGTGTTACTGATTGGGGGGTGAGTTAGAACTTGCCTCTGAGCCAGAGACATCTGAAAAATAAATAACCAGAACTAAAAGATTTTCTTTCTGAAAGGAAAAGGTGTATATTAGGATTGTAGTTGTCAAAGGACTTCAAACCTTGGTCATTAACTTACTAGGTGTGGGTCTTCGCCATAGGGAAGTGATCTACTGAGCAGGGAGTCCACTACAGCGTTGCATCTCAATGCAAGAAATGTTGTGCATGCTTTTTCTTGATGATGAAACATTAACAATTACTTCCACGTGGGGGAAGAAAAACAGCTGTGTAGGTATTTGTGGACGGATGGCTCATGAGTCAGCTCTTACGTGGTTTTGGCTTTTCTCTTCCCAGAGCTCCTCCGCCAGCGCAGTGGGCCTGGGTCCTCGCAGGAGCCCTGCGGAGTTTTTGTCTGGTTGCCACGTGAGTCTGCTGTGGTGGTGTTCTGCTAGTAGCCTTGAACAGCAAGGAAGAAAGATAATTAAAAAAAAAAATATTGCCTGCATCTTGGAGAGAGCTGACAAAATAGATTTAAGTTGCTTTTTCCAACCTACTTGAGTCTAACGTAGGAGAGTTTGTGTTGCAAAGCACATGGTGTAGAAAAGCCCCACATCCCCGTCACCACGCAGCACCCTTCTGTGCTCTCCGCAGAGATAAGTTTTTTATAAACCTTACAAAAAAACTTGCTTACGCGTGCGGCTTTATGCCGCCCAGAGCAAGAGCTCGGCGGGAATTGCTAACCGTGCACCAGCAGCAGATGTGAGACTCAGCTCCTCGACGGCGCTGCAAGATTTGGAGTATCTGCTGCGCTTTAAAGCTCCCGTCCCCCGCAGCCCGGAGGCGGCAGCCCTGGCTGCCCGCCGCTGCGGCGGGGGCTGAGCCGCACAGCCCGGCCCCAACGGTCGCCCGGCGGCCGTTAGCGCGGCGCGCGCCGGACTACGCCTCCCAGCAGCCCCCGCGCCGCTGTGGGGCGGCCAGCAGCCGCCGGGCGAGCGGGGGGTCCCGGCGCCTGCGTGGCCCTGCCCGGGCAGGGCGGCTCGGCTCGGCTCGGCTGGGCTGGGCTGCCTCCCGCTCCCCGCCGATGCCATGCTAAGACCAGAGGTTTCCGCGTCCTACCAGGAGGTACGGGCTAGTGGGCGGCGGGGCAGGGCCCCCGGGCCGGGCATCAACGCCGTCGCCGTGAGCTCATTTCGGGTCCGGTCTCTGGCGGGGCTGGCCGCGTCGCCGCCCGGGGGCGGGGAGCCTGCCTTAGGGAGCGCTCCGCGGCTTAACCGACGACTTCTGGCCCGTCGGTGTCCGCTCGGGCGCGGCCGGGCCGGGCGGGGGTCGCCGCGAGGCCCGTGGGCCGTCCCCCGCCTGCTGCTCGCCCCGGCCCTCCCCCGTGCTGCGGGGGAACCGGCGCGTCAGGTGGCGCCTGCCCTCGCCGGAAAGAAACGGGTGTTCTGGGTGCGCTCAGCGCCGCGTTTTACCTTTCAGCGCGGTTAACAGCACCCGCAGCGGTTCCCTCAAGTGTTTGAGGTAGGTGCAGCTGGCCGGCGAGCTCGGTAACCGGGGCTTTCCTAACAAGGAGACGGGCTGTCGGGCGTGAGAAGCGGCTTCGGTACCAGAGCTCTCAGATGGAAAACTGAAAGCCGCATTATTATCCTGCCAAGAGCCTGAGGCAGCGCCTGGATTGCATGTCAATGTACGGGTTCCGGCAGCCGCAGTGCTTTGCTGGCTCCGATCTCTCGCACTGGCGATACGCGCTATTTGTGCCGAGTTCAGCAGCGGTAGAGACTCGCAGCAGGGCACTTCTGTTTGCATCGTGCAGGCGAAAGGAATGCAGATGTTTGCCTTCCTCTGGATGCGATAGGTAGTTTGGGGGCTCTGTTTTCATACGTTCGAATTTAGTTTAGTACTGCCTGTTTAGCTTCAGCTTCTGTTTTTTTGTGGCAGTCTAGAAGGATTTGGAAGGTGATGAAGCAGTGGACCAGCAAAAGGCCTGTATGGACAAGTTCTCCTTTTATTTAAGAGGGCTTTATCCCATGATCATCAGGATGAAATTAACTCCTGCAAGAGCTCATATGTAGGAGAGGTACTTGAGAGAGTTAATGAAGTTTCATTGATGCCTGAAGTATGGACCAGACTATGCATGTTACACTTCTGCTGTGTGGATCAGCCACCACTGACACTGCTCCGTATGTTTGGGATTGTCCTAAACTGTGGTGCAAGTCTAGATGGTGTGTAAATGCAGCAGCTGTGTTTCCACCCCTTCTCTGGCACCTGGGGCAATCTGTGATGCTCCTGCCCCTAGCAGGGATGCTCAGTTGCCTGAAATTGCATTTTCTGAGCTTTTGTTTGTCCAGTGCTTTTTGGTGTGTGGGACTGAAAAGGAACTGTTGGGTCACAGGCAGGCTCCAGCAGTTGTTCTTCACTCAGCTGTACATGCCCAGCCCACAGGAATGCTGAACAAAGGCCTGTTTCCTGCCCTTGACACCCTATCCTTTCTCTGCATCTGACTGCAAACTTAACTGCTCTGTAGGTTTGTGTTCCTTTGCATTAGCATGATGCTTCAACTCTATCAAAAATAAGATGTAGGAAGAGCTGGCCTGTGAAGGCGAACACCATTGGCGTACACCAGGTTCAATGCTGTCATTTGCCTTGATACAGGGATTTTGTCAAGTGTGAAGAAACTAGAATTGGCTGTTGTGCAGTAATTCTGTGCTGGCTTCCCAGTTGTTATGAGACTGTAGCTCAGTATGTCTGAGTTGTTAAGTTTGTAGGTCTGTGCTGACATGCCTTGTAGAGTTCGTGTGCTGTGCGCTCGGAACGCGGTGGCTGAGATCTGAACAGTGCCAGGCTCTTGGTGGCCTTGGTGGGTTTATGCAACTTCACCTCTTGTCAAGTCAGGTGTTTGGGATTTGCAGTGAAATTAGTTTTTAGGAGGTCTCACACATCAGCTGAAGCTACTCAATGCACCTGAGGCAATGTTAGCACTCCTGCTTTTGACTAGCTGTCCTTCACTGGTTTTGTGTGTGAAAAGCTTATGAAACTGTATCTGTCTTGTGAGCAGAGGTAAGGAAACATAATTGCATATTGCTTGTTTTTTTGTTTCTAAGGAATGCTGAACTGTTACAGTTTTCTGAGTTTTCTTCTCCTAGGTGTTGAAGAGTCACTTTAGGTCCTCTTAGGAGGATAAGAGTTGTTGCATTTTGTGTTCTTGTTTAAACTCATGTTGGGATCTCTTTGTTATCAGGAATAGAATTTGCTTACCCGCTGCCTAACTTGAGTGGACAAGGTGCCTGTTCCAGTGGAACTGTGGCTGAACCAGAGAGGTGTGGGAATCAGCTGAGAAACCGCAGTGATGACTTTGTAACCTATGTTAACTTTTGGGATCAGCTCTGGAATGAGGAATTTGCATGGGGATAATTTGAACTGGCTTCTTAGTTGATTTAGTTTAACCAGTGCAAGAGGTTCAATGAATACTCTTCTTGTGTCAGAATAGCTTCCTTTGGGTCAGGTAAACAAATAAAACTAGTGTGTTTCTACAAAAAGGAGCAGAGTGTTAAGTTTCCCCTTATTTTATGAAGATAATTGGAAAAAAAAGTATCTTTGGTTGGATCCTTGTAGAGTCTCCTGCAAATGAGAGGAGTTTAGCTTATTAGTTACCTGTTCACTCCATGCCTCACACCATGGCAAATCATGCTTTATTTATGTGCAAAGCATTTAAAAACAACTGGGTAACTGCTTTCAACTAGCTTTGCATGGTTGGAAATGAATACGGCAGTACAGCAGGAGGTGATGGAGACTTTACGTCAGACTTTGAAGATGTGAAATGAGTGGACTCTTTCCTAATAAGTGCAAATGATGATTTGTTAATGGTATAATGATTTAAATACTGAATTAAAGTAGGGTGAAATAAAAGCACTTCCTTATGGATACACGCACTTTACTGTTGAGTAAGTTGGGGGTGTAAAGTTCAATAGCGTTCAGTATGGCTGCTGCATTAACTGTGCCCTCATTTTCCTTGAAATAGGAACAAAGCTAATCTTCCTTACCTAATTAGGTGGGTGATGCTGAGTGTTTAGCTTGGACAGTTACTGTGTAACACACAACGTGCTGCAAGTTTATGCCCCCTTTGCCTTGCTGTAATTTATATGTCAGTCCCTGCCACAAAAGAAATTTGGAAAACATACAGGAGATACTTTATATAAAAAGTTTAATGCTTCATGATCTCATGTGATGCCTATCTGATGTGACAAGCTTCTGACTTTGGTGGAAGTGTCTTGGCAGTTTGGGCCCAGAGCTCTGAATAGCAAAACAAGAAAACATCTGGTCTCTGTTGCTGTTTTAGAAACACTGGAATACTACTAATTAGTTGCATAACTTCTAATATATAATAATATGTAATGTGAGCTCAAATAAGTACCAGAAATGTAGGGATGTTTGTTTGTCTTGTAATGACCCACCTACCGATGTAGCTGAGACTACATTTGAGTTACTTGTCCTAATACCTGTCAAAATGCAACTTGCTCTTTTTGCACCTCTTTATTAAGAAGTGCTAATGTTCTGTTTGCTGGTATGTGCTCTGGTTTGTTTATGCCTAAAAATATGTTCTTGAGTGACAGAATGAAGTTCCTGCTTATTTCAGAGGGCATTGTCCTAATTGGGGGTTTAAAGTGAGCTGAAGCTGCCACAGAAACAATTACTTTGGTCTTGAAAGAAAACGTGATGCTGTTGTTGAAGCAGCAGGGTAGAAGTAGGTTAAATTTAATGTGCCATCTTTCTCTTTTTGCAGCATGCAAGTCAATTAATTTTTAGCTGTAGGTGTACATAAATTTGGCTCTTGTTCACAAGTGGAACAGATGTTGGGTGCTCTTGGACTGGGGGCATTTTTTTGTGTGTTTGGTTAGTTGGAGCCTCTTCTATTTGTACCATAGAAATTCCAGCAATTGCAAGTTGAGAGCATGTTTGGAAATTGAACCACTGTTTTAACTACACAGCTGAGTGAAGATGTGGAGAGAGTATCTGAAAACCCAACAGATGAGAGAGAAGGAGAGATGGAAGTTCATGAAGATGCCAGCTCTGTTATTTTACCAGGTGAGAACTAGTGACGCAGAAATTGCCAATTTTAAGTTCCTGATAAGCTGCTTCTGTGTGTGGGTTTGGTGGTTGGCTATTGTGTTTTTTTTATTGCAGTTCTGAAAGAAAACAAAACACTAAATTACTTATTTTGGGGAATAAGTACTGATGGAAAGTCAAGGAGTTTTTCCAGGGATTGAGATGAGAACATTTCTTTGTCATGAGCTGTGTGTGCTCAATCGAAGAAGATTTAGCACATCTAGTTCTGAGATAGCAGAGTATGTCATCTTCCTTTATGTTGTCTCTTACCTGAGTTGCAGTGTCTGTGATGGCAGTGGATTGCGAGCAAAGTCTGTGCCAGATTTACATGAGCAAGATGCAATATTGAACGGATATGCTTTTAAACAGATTATAGTTAGACTGTTCAGACCTGCTTTTGGTGAGTGCGGGGCAGTGTTAAATGGGCTTATTGCAGCTCAGATGTAGACATTAAGGTAAGCCAATCTGAAATGAGTAAATGTTTTGCAGCTGTTCAAGACATACTTGGTTTAGTAGTAGAACTTTATGCGTATCAGTGTCCTAATTTCCTTGGCTGCCATCTCCTGGCACATAACTTGGGAACATGTGTGTGACAGTGGACCTTTGTAAGAGCTAATGTGTTCAGTAGGATTTACTAAAAGGCTAGTGTTTGCTGTAGCAAGGAACAAACACCAAACCCTGCTATTACAGTTAAAGGGCAGAGTGTGGCACAGCCTGACTCATTAGATTACACCACACAGAAGAGTCAGTGTAAAATATGCCTACTTATCTCCTTTCATATGCTGGGGTGTAATGTTCCTTTTGTGTGTTCAGCTGTATATCGCTCGCAGTTGAAACATGACGTGTAACTCGAGAGTACGTGAACTTTTCCTTACAAGTATTGCCAAAAGAAATGGCGAATGCAGGGAGTATGGGGAAAGCAGTCTGTGTGCAAGTGAGACTAGCGTGAAGATCTTCAGAGAATAAGCTTTGAAGGCAAGGAAACTGTGAGAGAATTGGCTTGGTCTTTTTCTAGCTGTAACTGAAAGAATCCTTTTGCAAAACTGTACATAGTATGCACAAGGTATTATGAACCAGAGTCCAAAAATGGGAGGGTAACAAATAAGTATCTAGTGACTTTTGCCGTGGTGGAGATGCAATGCAGATAGCAGTTTAAGAGCATTAGAATATTAGATCTCCCTGCTGATGCATGTGCTGACTGTATAAGAATCACTTCAGACTGGGAGGAGGGGAGAAAGGAATTATTTTTTCCAGGAGGAAACATTGACCATCAATGGATGTTTTTTTCACGTGAACTTTGAACTTTGTTTCTGAGTTGTCCTTCTTGAAAATAAACCTTGTTTCCTGCCTGCCCTGTGCTTAAGCAGTGTGCCAAATTCAATATGTGAAAGAGGCACAATCTTTGGGTGATTATGCCTCGTGCTTGAGAAAGAAGTATCTGTCTGACTGATGGTCAAAACCAGCAGTAGTTGTGTTTTTTTTGCATCAAGCTGAGTTTGAGGCTTACTTTCCTCTTAAATGATTGATCATTAAATGAACACTATGTAAATTCAGCCCAAATATCTGTGTTTTAAAGTCCTAATCCATATTCTGTTTGGTTCCAGATAGTGAACTGGGTACCACTGCCCCTTCTTTGCGTTTCAGCAAGACCTGCCTAAAGAATGTTTTTTCAGTAATTCTCCTGTTTATTTATCTGCTGCTCATGGCTGTAGCTGTGTTCCTTGTCTACCAAACCATCAGTGACTTCAGGGAGAAGCTCAAGCACCCTGTCATGTCTGTCTCTTACAAGGAAGTGTCCTTGTATGATGCACCTGGTAAGACCGGTAACAAACAAAATGGGTTAAATTCTTGACATTTATCTTCGATTTAAATTTGTGCTGTTGATTCTTCAGGGCCCAGAGTGCATATAATGCTTTGACTTAGGTCTCTCACTTCCTCTTTTTTAATCTATGTTGTGTTGACTTTGCGCAGAAATATTAATATTGTACAGGAGATTTTGGGAACTTTCATGCCAATAACATGAATGACAGTAGCTGTGGAGCATTATGCAACAGTTGATAGATAAGTAGGGTTTTCAGACTCTAGAATGAGTCCTCTTTCAGGGAAAGATGACAAATCCTTATGGAAATATTCCCAGAACAGAACTGTTCCAGCAGGGTAGCACATAGGATGTGTATCAGGACCTCAGTGCTGCACTGGACAGTGAGATACTGGTGACAGTAAAGAAGGTGAATTTCTCAAACCAACTTCAAAATAACCACAATGCCACTTTCTGCTTCTGTTCTGAATTGTTTACAACTTGGTGTTACATCAGTAGGCAATGAAAATGTGATGTGGCTGCAGGGAACAATGTTGGCGTGAAAATGCAGTGTGGCATCAGAAAACTGTTGCAGTTTGCAGGAGGGATTATGCCACAGATACATTTTTGAATAGCGAATTCTATAATTTTTTTAAAATTATCCAGTAACCATTCACAAATAGATCTGTGGTAGGTCAGTTTCCAGTTTAAAAATAACACTTTTGTTTGAAGTGTTATCACATGTTATCAATAACCACTCCAGTAATTGTGGCTGAAAGGTGAGTGTTTCAATTTGTTGCTATATTCCTGTAGTTGTTTTCCTGAATAGTCAGGCTTAGCTTTGCAAGTAGGTCCTTGTGTTTGGACTATGTGGATCGGACTGTAAGAACAGGCTTTTCCCTTTTTTGTCCTTTTCTCACGTGAGCTTTTCATACAGCAACAGGAAGAAAATGTCATTTAAAGAAGCAAAGCAACATATGTATAAACCCAAAAGTACTGACAGGGATCCCTGCCAGATCAGAAAACCTAAATTAATGTAGGGCTTTGCTTTGTTGCTCTGTTAAACTGATGAGATGGCAAGTTGCAAGCATGGAGCACTGAAGAAAGGGATAAAGCATTTTTAGGCTGATATATATTGACTGCTTTGACATCTCGCATTTTGGTGGACAGGTCATCTTAGTTGTGTGAGTTAATAATATCTAATAACTCAAATCATACTGTTGGTAGTTGGTCTAGATTATCTTCAAGCAAGCTTGTTTCCAATAATAAATGTGGCATATGTGGCATAACAGGATTTTGGGGTTTGGGCCATGTATTTTGCTAGCCTTCTACAGCTGAGGTGTCTGAGGTTCTTTTAATGCATGCTGTTGGTCTGAAATGGTAGATTTGTGGTGTATATGAATTCCCACACAGGTGAAGTAGTAGCCTGCCTACCCAGTGATAGAAGTAGATAGGGGATGGTAACAGTATTTGGTGATGGCTTTGATTTTTATTACTGTATTCAGTGAACAGATGCTACATGTTCTGAAGAGCATCTTTTCACTTTTGTTAGATCAGACAGTAATATTTGATCTGTCGTGTGTAGTACCTACATTATTTCCAATTAAAATGTGACGTGTTACATGTGCATGCTGAAGCTCTGTATGTCCCATTTGTCTTCAGTGGTCTCCTAACTTTACACATTCATTTAATTTGGGGTGAGAGGGACTGATATATTAGCTGCTGGCTTGTAGGAAGACTAGGGAAACTTCTGTGAACCTTGAATTGTTGTGACAGAATGTGAACCCTGATTTTTTTTTTTTTTTTTTTTTCCAACACATCACAGGGGTTCTGTCTCAATGCAGCTGGTACTTTCGTCCTGCTCCAGAAAAATGCTGAAGCATGTGGTTTAATTTGATTGTTTTGCTGGATCTTGAGGATAGCTCAGTACCTTGTAGGATTAAATTCCGGAATGCAAATTTGTACTTGGGAAGGAAATCAGCTCTTGTCAATGTTTTTTTTTTTTTTTTCTCCCAAAACAGGTATTGCCTTTTACCCAGGCAAGGCTCGGCTGCTTAGCTGCAAACATCATTACTACGATCACATTCCGCCTCTGATAAATCCAGGTCAGCCAGGAGACATCGAATGCACCACTCAGAGGATCAACTACACAGATCCTTTTACTAATCAAACAATGGTAATAATAATATAATAGAACGAAGCTTATTCAGTGGGAGTTTTCTGCTTGTAATGATATTTGAAAGTAAAAATATTTACTAAGTGCTGAAAAAAATCTTTGCTTCTATGTTCTTTTCAAGCCATCTGTCCTTTTGTTTTCAGGAATGTAAAATACCCCAGTCAGTGTGTATATGTGTTATAGAAGATCAGCTGTCATGTGGGTGTGTGGAGCATGAAAACCTGAATGGGACAAAATAAGTCATTTTTCACAATGAAACTCTCACTTCATTCCTCTGCTAAATGAACTGGCAAGCATTCTCCTTGATACAGTAAATCTAGCTCTGAGTGAAAACAGTAGCAGTTATTTCATGAAAGCAGGATAACTTACCTCTTTTTGTATGTCTGCTGGGAACAACATACTATTTTTGTCACACTTGGAAACGTCTTAACTGGGCACCAAGCGTTTCGTTAGACTGAAATGCTGTGAGCCATTAAGATGGGTACATGGAATGACAGTCTGTTGTAATTTTCCCTTAAAAATGCAGGGAATCTAGCTTCTGTATAAATATTAAAAATAAACTATTAAATATAGTCATTTGTATCTAAAGTGATTGCTCAGATGTTTAAGGAAACTAAACATGAACAAACAATCTAGGTACCTGTTTGGTCAGCTTTTTCCTCTTCATGTTTTGCCTTTTGTCTAGTCCCCATTTCTTTCTGGGAAGCAGCTCCTTAGTGTATTTGAAAGTAATATTCTGGGTGCAAGTCTAGTTTAATTTCTGCCACTAATAGGCTCTTTTTGCATGTTTTACCATACTGAGAACCTCCATTGTATGCTGCTTTGTAGGTTCATTTAGAAGCTTGCTCATCCAATAGGCTCTAGTCCTGCAGTAGAACGGAGGGGCACTGAGGCAGAGACCTCTGAACCACACAGGGCCCAGTTCAAATTGGCTGAGTCCTTTTGCAAGCAGCAGCTTGCTGTTTGACATAGTGCCTGCACTACTTTAAGTTGTATTCTGCCTGATAGCATTTTTTTTTTTTCTTTTTTCCTTTCGGCAGCTTACCCGAGGTGCTGGGGGCTGCGAAACTCTCCCTCTTTCTCAAGAAGCAGCCTGATGTTCTCCACTTAAGGCTCTACATTAAGGTGTTTCAGGTCAAGAGCTGAAAGTTCCTAGACCTTAATGCTCAAAACTATTTTGATTGTCCTTCTATGGAATCCAGGTTGCAGAGCCTTGACTGGTAATTCCACATAAACTCAAAGGACTGTCATAGAACTAAGGCGGATTTCTTAGGAAAACACTAAATCTTGATGTAAAGACTTAATTTTTAAATTAAAAGGAGGGATTCAGTTGGCATTTTTGTTAGATATTTTAATAGATGTATACTTAGTAGCACCCAAGATTTCTATAGTGTATTAGTGACAGATGGCAAATTCATGAACAGGAAATGAAGATTCCTTTGATACTCTCTCACCATCTCTATGTCTGCTTACAGAAGTATGCTTTGGTTGTTCAAGGCCCTCGTGATGTGAAGAAAAAGGAACTGGTGTTTTTGCAGTTTCATTTAAATGGAACAGACCAGGATTTTAGCGCCATTGACTACCTTCTGTTTTCTTCTTTCCAGGAGTTCATCAACAGGTATGTAAAGGAATGAGCCTGTAACTGCACTGAACTTGCTACAACAATACTAGTGAAAGTAGGGCTTTTTTAGTGAAAATTAGACAGGCTTTTATATTCTCGTTATTTTAATTTTTTTAATGTTAGGGTTACGTTGATGCTTTTTCATGTCTCGGGTTACTAATCTTATGTTTTAGAAAATGAATTGAGGACTTTTTCAGTGACAAAACCTGCCTTTCAGCTATGCTTCAGCCATTTGTTGCTGCTCTTTTCAGAAAGTTTGAAGCTTCTGCAGACTTATTGCTGTCTGCTGCCGTGGGTGATCAGGAAGTATGCTCATGAAGTACACTGAGAAGACTAATGTTTCTGTAATGTTTTGGTTGGGTTTTTGTTTTGGTTTTTTTTTTAAGCAATTACTGTAAAGGTCTGAGCCCTACATTGATTTGTTGTGATTTTCTTTGAATTACTAGCATTATGTAAGATTCTACAGAACAATGTAATTTCATAGATGAGGTTTTCAAAATTGCTTCGTATTGGTTGGACATTGGTGCCATTGGAGTGACCGATCAACTTTCCTCCAAATTTAACAGAAGTGGAATTAATCCCACCTTGAACTTTCTTGAAAGTCCCACCATTTTTCCCACCTCATGAGAATAAATTCCATACTTAACTGTTTAACTTTGCTTTAATTTAAATTCAGGTTCTGTTCTTTCTGTGATCCAGGTTAAAAGCAAGACAAGAGATATTAGTTACAATGAGACCTAATAGAAAGTGCTAATTTACTCAGTGAAAAAGGGACAGGAGATAAAGGCCATACGCAGAACAAAATTAGGTGAGGAAGGGGAAGAGGAACAACAGATTTTATTGTCACAGAGCATTCTTGGAGGCTTGGACATGATAATACTGGTGCTTCTCAGATGGGGCAAAGACTGGAAGTGTCTGAAATTTGCTTTTTACAAAGTGTTTCTATTTAATTGAAGGAGAGATCTTAAAGCATTAAGTACTTTCTGTAACTCTACTAAGACACCTCATGAAGTGCTAGTGCTCCAAGTATTTTGTGCACTGATATTTTAGAGTGAGAAAATACCAGTTAAGAGTAGTGATGTCGAAGGTGCTACTTGTTCCTTCTGTGGTATTCTTAGTTTCTGTGGCTTGTGCCACAGTTCTCGCTATGCACAGCGAGACTGGTTCCAGCAAGGTGCACAGCTGTTTCTGTACTGCCAGACACAAGGGCTGCCCGAGACCACCCCTTGTAAAACACAGAGCTGAAGGCACAGTTGTATTGCGTATAGTTCCTGGCTCTTTGCAGAATGAGTCAGCGTACCAGGACACAACTTGGTCGATGTGCACTCAAGTTTTGGAAGCCGCATTTCTGTGCTTACTGCATCGATTTGCAGATTAAACCATTTTAAAGAGGTGTTTCTTCCCAAGGTAAAACATGTATGTCCTCCTTAAGTTGGCAGTATTGCTGCAAGCCAGCTAAGTCTGCATGCTGCTATTTCAAACACTTGTGCCACATGTTGTGCACAGCCAAATGAGATGTGCAAAACAGCAATAAGCAGTATTGCAGAGGTCCTAGCTTCAGGGCTGTGTTTGTGCCAGTGCAGGTGAATGGGCAAGAATCATCCGTGAGCTGCCTGGGAGAAACCCGGATGGCCACCTCCTGCCTCCAGGTTTGCCAGGTCAGACCGGTTAGATGGCAGAATCAGCCCCCAAAGAGATGAGGAAGTGTCGCTTTGTTCCTAGAGAAGCTGCCTTAGCTCAGTGTTGGAAGGCACCAGAACTGAAGCAGGGAGAGGAGGGGGGCTGAGCCTAGGATATGTCTGGAGTAAAGTGAAAGGGTAGGAAATGGTGGGGTCTGCTTGGGGATGCATCCTTTGTGTCTGTGTGTAGCAGGTAGTAGGAATGTGAGGTAAAACTGGTTTTGAACCAACCCACATAACAGTAGAATTGGCAAAGGTATGTAGGCCTTCAAACTTGGTCATAAATGATCTGCATGAGTAGGTGAAATACAGTAAGAGAGGCAGTTGTGCTCAAGAGGCCAGTGGTGTCTCTCTTAGCATCCTCCAACGCTTGGTACAAATTGTGTGGTTTACCTTGCTCAGTATTGTGTACTGCTGTCCTGGCATCCTGGGGCATGACCTGGACACTCTCGGGGCTGGTCGAAAGTTGGCGTTTTCTTCTGACTGTGAAGTGCATGTGAAACCACATACGTGGTGCATATGTGGAAGGTACTCGTTCTGTCCAACTTCCAGCAGAAGAGAAAATAGAAATTATTTCTTGTTCATCAACGGATGCTAAATTTAGTTGATGGGAAGTCTGGACTAAGATATCTGTAGGAACTGTTGTGTGTCCTTCCGTGTGGCCTCTAAAAACTTCAGTTACTGGCTGCTGTTAACTACTTTTCCTCACAAAGTGTCTCACTGGTTATGAGAACATATTATTATCAGTGTGTCCAGCAATTCAGGCAAAGTGTTATCAAGGATGCTGAGATACATGTTAAAACTCAGGAGATATTGTTATTATCTTTACAGTTTTTTGTCACGGCTGCAAACAGCCTAGGTTGGGCTGGGCAGGCAGGCTGCTGTAAAATATGTGGAGAGTATTCCATCATCTTAAATCCCAATCCAAACCCCCTTGAAATTGGTGAGAAGGGTCCTGCTGTACCTACAGCAAGGTTTCTGTGTAGACAATAGTATACTCAGCTCACTTTGCTTTAAACAGCAATAATCATATCGGTGAAGGCTGCTGCAAGCATCAGCAATAATAAAAATGGCATCTAGAGACTTGTATCTTTAAGGGGGTTTTTTTGAGGCATTGCAAGGGGTGAGGACTCAAGTAAGGTCCAGCTGTTTCTGTCAAGAGTTATCCTCTGCAGCTCTTCTGTTAAAATTGGATTGACAGACTACATGAAACTGGCACTGCTTGCTAGTTTTGTTCTGGCCTTCACAGAACACTGCTGAACTGTGTGCTATTGTTGGCCTGTGACTTGGAAGATACTGCCACTGGCTTTTTTCTTCTTCTTTTCTTTTTTTTTTTTTTTTTTTTTTTTTTCAGACAGTGGCAGCTGCTGTTTGCACCATATTAATTGGAGGGAAGGAGATAATATGAAACCCTTGAAAATTACCAAGAGAGTGTAGCTAAAAATACAAGTTCATTTCCTGAAATGTCAATAGTACAATACATGGGTTTAATAGGAAAATTCTCTGAACATATTACTGACAAAACTTGTTAGCATAGCATGTAAAATAATGAACAGTCATGTGAAATGATGAATGCCAGTCTGAAGAGAACAGAGATTATTTAAGGGTCTAAACAGAGCTCCATGTTCATGTCTCTGGCCTGGACTGCTGCGTGCAGAGAAATAAATTCTAACATAGAAGGGTTGAAACTTTTGTTACCGCACCATCTGACCCTTTATTAGATCCCAGGGCTGTCCCAAGAGTTTCCTATTCTAGGGAAAAGCAAAAGCCATAACCACAAATTGGGTTTGACCCATCTGTGGTCTTGGCCCTGGCTGTTGCGTTGGAATCTGCTGGTGGGGTATCCTGAGCTGCCCCTGGCTCCTGTGGGTGAGCCCCTAGAGCATGAGAAGGCCCGGCCCAGCCTGAGCTCAGCGGTTCCCAGCTGGGACAGACAGAGCCTCTCCGGGGTGCTGCCCAGCCTGTGCTGGGGCAGCCACCTCCCCCTGAGCACTGAGCTGTCAGCGGTTACCAGTGCGGGGCCGGGAGGAGACCAGGGCTTTGTAGTTCACCTGCGTGGCACTTGCGGCCTCTTGCACTTCGCGTTGTCTGCTGCGATGTAGGAATTTTTGCATGGTCTTGAGGTACCATTAATGTCCTGGGAGAGCCTGGTGCAGAGTATTCCAGTAATTTTACCATACATCTAAAAGACAGTGTCATAGGTAGAACAACTTGCTGAACAAAAAATAAAAGTGTGCAGCCTTGTAGCCTTTGCAAGTTGTCTGTATTTGGGGTGAAGAGGGAATTGAAAGAAAATTCCTGGAGATTTGTTCAGCTTAAAATTCCTTGCCTGTCTTGTGTTCACTTAGTTGTGTGTTGGTTTTAAGATGCATTATTTGCCTTCTGCTATCAGCTGTGCAAAGCCTGAGCCTCTCTGCTCTGCTCCCCATGCCCCCCACCCTCCTCCTTCCCCCTGCCCCCGGACTTTGTGGCAGTGGTCTGAATTGTGGGCACATGCAAGGAGATGCCTTCTCAGATCACTTCTCTGGAGCTTCTCTTAATATATTATTAATCTTTCAAGCCTACAATTACAGTTGAAGGCAAAGTATACTACTGCTGTCTCTTACCATTTAAGTTGTGGCTGGAACCTTCGGCTCTGTGTCATAACTTCCTGCCTCAATTTTCCACGTTGGTTTGGAAAGCTTTTCTAGGATGCTGTATTTAGGCAGGCATTAGGCATGTGACTGGCTGGCAGAGTGCTAATTATGTATGTTCCTCTGAGTGGCAAAGCACCACGCTCTTCCGTACTTCCCCATCTGCTGCTGCTCTACCCACATACCTAAGGGGGGAGAAATCACTGTCAGACTAGGACTCCCGGTGTCACTGGTTTGCATGCTGAGCAGCAGTCAGGCGATGGGCTTCGTTCTTATGTTCTGCCCACGTCTTCCTTGGGCGGGTTAGAGAGGTGTGCTGCCATCCTGTTGGGGTCACTAAACATGCACTAATGTTACAATTTGGTAGAGATACTCCTGACTTGCTAAAACTCTCTTGGAATATCATTTGTCCTCATGCGTAGCGAAGTGTGTTAGTTTTTCTCTCCAGAAATGCTGCTTCTTTCTGTTTGTGTGCACAAGGGAGCTCTGTGTTTGAGCCCATCACCTGAAGCCCTGACAAGAGCAATGGCTTTGCTCGGTTTCGCTTTCCTACAAACATGTGCATGTTCATCTATTAAGCCTGAGCAGGCAGCACAGGACAGCGTAGCCATCAGTATGATATTCTTTTTTTTCAGTGCATGCTTTTGCTGCCTTGTAGACAAGGCATTTTGGTTTGTAGGAAGAAAAGGATCCTTGATTCTGAAAACTAATGAAAAAGGAAAGGTGCAAATCGAATTAGTGCTGGTACAGGACACATCCTCCTGATTGGTCTGTTCTCTGGGATGAGAGTTTGCTGCTTCAGCTCTGCTCTTCTCTACATCCTTCTCCTGAAACACCAAAATTCCTTAATCTCCCAAGACGTAGTCATGTGTACCCTCTGCCATAAAAAGTACACTTTTTTCTTTCACCTAGGAAGATGGATTCAATCAGTCAAATCCCTTTCCCTTGTCTCAAGGACCAGCATACTCTGACATATCTCTGCAACCTGAAATCTATCTTTAGTAAAAATTGGCAGTCTGTGCTGTAATGATTCATGACTCACCACAGTGGTTTACCCCTTCATTTCAAATGAAACCATGTTGAAAAAGAAGCTGCAGGGCCAGGCTTATTTCATAGAGATTACATGAAAATGGCTAAAATTACACTAATGAGAAGCTCTAAGTAAATAACATGGTTAATTCCCTGTGTCCTGTGCAGCTGGTAGAGAAAAGATGAAGACCAAATATGCCTTAGCGCTACCCCTTTACCACTTTCAGCATAAGGGGTATTGGAAGCCTTAAAATAGCTTACGGTCACAGTATTAAAAAAAAAAAAAAAAAAAAAAGACACAAAGCAAATCTGCTGTTCCGGGGTGACAAATAACTGCAGTTCCATGCTGGGAAAACAGCCATGTTATTGGAGGTGGGAGCCTTACACCAAAGGTACAGGGTTTCCAAAACAATTAGGAATGCACTGAATGTAAGTTGTAAAGCATTGTAAGTATGTCTGCATTACATCCACTTTATTTGCATCCTAGAACTGGGGTGAAGCAGCCTGTCCTGCCTCTAGACTGTTCCTTCCATCTCTTGCTTCCTGGCATAGGGGGAATTGTTTCCTAGGGTGCTGGCTCTGCTCCTTTCTGTCCCAGAGACAGCAGATGAGCAGAAGGAAGCTCCCCTATGAGGCAGAACAATCCCAAGGGGCAGGAGGAACTCTGGGGGGAGGTAGGGCACCAGGTAAGGCTTATGTGGTTAAGAGAACGAGTGCAAGTGCTACCATTAATCAAAACATCACTGCTCATAATGGTTTAGATATGCTGTATTTCAGCAGTTGAAACAGAAAAGGAATTGTGAACGTGTTTTGAAGTGCCTGTAGGTCTGATGTTCTCCTGCTTGCAGTGCTCAGATACCACTCTGAGTTTGGTCAATAATGGTCTTTTTCCTTTAGTCCAGAAAAAGCAGAATTCATGAAGGACTGTGAAAGTTCATATTCCAGCTGGAAGTTTTCCGGAGGCTTTCGAACTTGGGTCAAGATGTCCTTGGTGAAAACAAAAGAAGAAGATGGTAGTGAGACTGTTGAATTCAAGCAAGAGGTAAAAAAAAAAAAAAAACAAACCCAAACTAAGAGCCAGGAAGAGTGTTTTGGGACTGCTTAGTTTATTAGGAACTAGTTACGGCCCCAGTTTTAATGATAACTGGCCAACAGAACCGGTTCTTGGGGCAAATAGCTATATGAGTTGCAAGAAGGGTGGATTGGTTGGTTAATTGAGTGAAACAGCAGGACCTTGTTTTTTGTTTCACTGCATCCATTATGCCACTTGCCACTGTGCAGTTACTGGCGTTCTTTCTTAACGTGGAGAGGGTCTGTAAAAGCATAGATACCTTGATGTGTTGGTGTGGCCTAGTGACACATCTCAGGAAAACATCTCCTAAGGGGTAGGCCAGAAAATCTAGGCCTTGAACGTGTTATGACACCTGTAGTCTGAGGTAAGGGTCCAAAGAGAGACATACAAATACTAACACAGCTACCTTTAGTTCAAGGTGGGGAACGGTTGCCAGAGGAATTGTCTAAGTAATAGCTAGTACTGGAAAGAGGTATTATTCAAGTTACCACAAGGGCTGATGTTAGGATGAAGAGGTAAACATAAGCCTTGTATCCTTTGCAGCATTCTTGTTCATGTCTGCTTTTTGTTTGGGTTTGGGATTTTTAGCTGTTGAATATCTGTAGAATAATGGAGCAACTTAACTTCTTGCATCATTTAAAACTAGAAAATATGCAGGTGGAAGATGCAAACTTAGCTAGAGCTGAAATGAGTTTGACTTTCATTCCTGTTCTGTTTACATTAATGGACAGGAAAATAATTGTTTCAAGTTGGTCATCTTGCTCCCAGTGTTGGTTGGTGAGGAAGTCTCTCATCGGTGGGGAGAAGTGAGAATTTTAAGAGCAATCCTTTCCAGAGACTACACTTTTTCTTAGTCCACAGTCTGCTTAGAAGTACTCTGTGAGGGTTAAAATGAAGCAGAATCCTATCTTTAGTTCTCGCAGTTATGGTATGACACAGCAAAGCCTTAGGGGAAGAGCAGAGCTGTATCTGTGAGGTGAGTGCCTTCCTAAGCCACTGGAGGAGGGCAGGAGGCAAATTCCAGTGTCGTGCAACTCTCAGACTAATGCCTTAGTTTGGAGGAGAGGAAAGAATGCGTCGGTCAGCTGCTGCCATGTAAGCACTAACAGCAGTTGTCTGTTTGTCCTTCATCACCTACAGCTCTGTATCACTTACCCTTTGGTGCTTACCAAGTGTAGGATCTATGAAAGTTCTTTGTGTGCCCAAGTCTAACCTGTCTCAAAGTGGAAACAAAAGGCTGACTCAAACTCAGAAAAAGCAGAGCTTTTTGTGACCATAAATGTCCATTTAGTGCAGCAGTTATGGACTCTGATCACCTGGGTAGGTGAATGCTGTGCTGGTTGGTTGGTTTGTTTATTTTTAATAAAATCTAGGAACTAGGAATCAGTACAATTGTGAATTTGGGGTTTCAGATCCATATTCATAATATAGAAGAAGTTGAGATAGCTCAGGCAAAGTGCACTTGCTTTGTTTGACAGCTTGTCTGCACAAATTGCCTAAGGAAGTCCATTAGCCTTTCAGATCTCAAACTGGGAGATGGCATACCAGAAAGATGGATACAAATATTAGGTCAAATAGCAGAGTCAGTCTACTGACTCCAGTAGTCATTACTTTGTCTTTTCTTTCTTTCTTTCTCATTGCCTTAATTTAGCTTTGTGTGCTGTTTTCTGCTGTGCAGTTTTCTTGAATCTTGAATGAGTGTAGGTGGGGTGATGGTATGCTACAATAAGTAAGGTGTGCTGCAATAAGTAAATGAGCTGTAGGAGCCTAGGGTCTGCAGCAAAGGTATTTGACCAGAAATCACAAGGTGGTGAAGCTCCTGTATGCTCTGAGTGGACACAGGCAGTGTTCCAGCTCCTGCTTCTAGGTGGTCACAGCCCAGATCTGGTCATGGAAAGGGGGTGTGGAGAAGACTGATCGAAATCTTGAAGTATTTGTAAAGAAACTAAGCCATGGTAGGTAGGTTTTTGTAGTAGGTCATCCCTCATACCGTGAAAAGGCTGTCAAGAAGGTGAAAAATAGCAGACTGTTTAGGGACTTCTAACTCAGCCTTCCTTTACCTGGAACAGGCTCCCAAAATATGGAAAAGGCAGTTTCCCCCATCCATCTCATGTTCCTGTCATAACCCTGAAATGATATTAGAGTACTGCTGGGTTCATTACTTCCAGTACAGCATTAAACTAACGCAGGCAGAGCAGCTGTACTCCCTTGTGCACACACCAAGATGTAAGTTCTCCTTTGAGGGCTGGAGAAGTCCTTCCATCACTTGTGCAGCTGTAGCCCCAGTGTGTGTTCCCAATAAGTAATTGTCTGGCTCTCAAGCAGTTTACCTTGTCTTCCAGCAGCAGGGGCTTAGTGCAGACTGTGGTGTTAGTGCCTGTGTACAAAACCCCTGTAGTTCCCCTCTGGGCTGGGTGGGGGGGTGGGGGGGTGGTGTTACAAGAAAAGATACGTTTTTCTGAGGCCTGATGTCTGAAGAACCACAATCAGGGAACTGTTAAGATTGGCTTCATGTGGCTGTAACATTGATCTGGTATCCTAAACTGGACCGCAGCAGAATTTTGCTAATGCTTGCTGCTGTTCAGTGCTAGTTTCAAATGTTAGCTAATGGGCAGTACAGTTTTGTTAAAATCTAGGCTGCGTTTTCATTCTGTACTTGCTGGCATCTTCTAGGGTTTTTTTTTGAAAAATCAGTCATAGAATAAAAAAAAGTCTTCCTGCCACCATGGTGTAGTTCTGTGGTAAATGAAAGAAATTTAGCATTCATTAATGAGAACTTTCCAAATGCTGTATTATTCCAAGTAAATGAATTTTCCCCCCTTGAAAGGGGAAAAACTATGTAATAAAATAAAGGCCCTGGGTATCACTGTAAAAATGGTAATGCAGTGGTATTTACTAAGTGAGAAAGAGGACAACAACATGAATATAAGGAATGGAGGAAACTGCCCTTTCTATGTTTTGGGAGCCTGTTGTTCCAGGTAGAGGAAGGCTGAGTTGGAAGTCCCTAAAGAGTCTGCTGTTTTCACCTTCTTACAAGCCTTTTCTGTGGCACAGAAGACTCATTTCACCACTGATGAAAGTAACCTGCACAATTTGTGTTTTTTCCCCTCTCCTCAGACCAGCGTGGTTAACTATATTGACCAGAGAACTAAATCAATTAGTGACCAGCTGTTTTTCGTGGTATTCGAATGGAAAGATCCTTTCATACAGACTGTTCAAGATGTGAGTAGCATGCTAGTCCCTTTTTGAATTGTTTTCTGACTGTACGTGCTCATGGTTTGTGTGTGCATGCACAAGCCTCTGTCACCTCACTCCAAGCAGAAATTCAGAGGAAGAATGAGGTTTACCTCTGAAATTCCAGCCTAGGCTCTTCCTTATGTCCAGTAATGTGACTTCTGCAGAGGTCAAGCCCAGCTGCTGCCTTTCGTTGGCCTGGCAACATCAAGCATGCTGTTTGCACTAGAGGTACATGTAGCTAAGAAAAAACACGTCACCTGTGTTCTAGCAGAGTGCAGCTTCAGGTCAAGTCTGAACTTTTTGCTTAAATAAGCGTGGCTTGGACAAACTAAGGACTTTTAAAATTAACTGACAAGCAAGAAACTTGGGCATAAATCAGAGTAATAAAAATAGCCTAGTATATTTCTTATCTGTTAATGGCATAGAATTTGGCACTGCAGTCAAATACATTTTAAAATTTAGCTCAATATGCTGTGGCCAGAGGTACCTGATGTGCCAGACAAGATCACAGTCAGTCCTCGCAGTGCTTAGAAGGTGTGCAGGTGTGCACTGCAGGTACATGTGCTTTAAGCATGTGAGCTGCATATTGTTTTCCTGGTGTTCCAGGTCACATACACTTGCCTTCCTCAGAAACATGCAGAATGGCAGAGACAATCTGTTTAAAATTTTGCATTTAAAATGGCCCTACCTGACAACCAAAGTCCCATTGCCATCAAATTCCCCAGAGTTCTTGATTTCTTGCCCAGCAGGAATGGGGTTGTTGGTCCTTCGTGTTCCCGCTGCCGTGTCTGTGCCAGGGCCAGGCACCCTCCCCTCTGCGGGCGCTTCCGTGGCCTCGCCAGCCCAGTCCTGTCCCTGGCCCCACTCGCTCCTCACCACCGAGCTGAGTGCTGCCCCTCTGCCCAGGGCTGCTGCTTTTGGAAGAGTAACTGGTACAGAAAGCCTGTTTAACACCAGGCTCAGGAGTGACTGAGTGACACTGTGCTCATGCCGACCATCATGCAAACTCCACGGCAAGTCCCAAAGCTGTGTGGTAGTTCATTGCTGCCTAAGCCTAGCTCTGCTTGTTTCATCTGAGATCATAAAAGTTGCCCTTGGGCCTAGAGATGCCTGGAGAATTGCAAACTATAAATCAACTGAACTACTGTAATTGTGAAATTAAAATAGAAATATCAAATACTTGCCGTGAGTCTGCACATTGCTGCTGACAAAAGCTGGTTTATTTTACAATGCTGTCTTGTTAAAGCTTTCCAGTAGTTGCTTCCTTTAGCTTTGTCTCCTGGAAGATCTTTAACATGACTGCTTATTTTTATAAATCTTTAAATAATACAGTAAATTTCATCTATCATATTAAAACGAGCAGTTTAACTATATCTCTAAAATTTTGAACAATTCAATATCCTGAAACAGTCTAAAAGGAATTTAGCAGCTAGTACGGAGTGTTTTCCTGATGGAAGGAATTAGAAAACCATGGTGTGAGGCAGCTGTGGAAGGCAGCACTACAGGCCACCTTTACAGCAGAGAGGAATATACTGCAAAACACTTAAGTTTGAAAAATTGAATTGTTTGTTATTGAATAGGTATATGTTAAATCAGATGAGGGGAATAAAATTTTTAATTTCTTTCAGATTATCACAGCAAATCCCTGGAACATGATTGCTCTTCTTTGTGGTATCTTTTTGGCTCTGTTTAAGGCAGCAGACTTTGCTAAATTAAGCGTTAAGTGGATGATCAAAATCCGAAAGAGACATCTGAAGAGGAGTCATCAAGTAATGAACCACATAAACTGAGACTAAGACTGCCTTTTAGCTATTCATAGCAGATTGGATAGAAAGTAACTAGAATAAACTTCAAGCAGCAGTACAGAATTAAAGATTCAAAACAGGTATGTTTTATTCCAGAAAATGATGGCTGGAGGAACAGCCTGGTGAACTGGCCTTGGAACTTCAGAAAGGAGCTAACTCTAGGACAGGTCTAACAAACTCGTGCTTTTCTATTCCAAATTTAACAAGCTTACCTCAATGTACGGGGGGACCAGGGGGAAAGGAGAGAATTCACTGACTTTCAGAAAGTCACAGCGTAGTGGTTTAGTTCTAAAACAAGAGTGTCAGAATGCTGCTCGGAACAGGAAGCCATGTAGCTCTGCGTGACTGTGACCTGTGTCTGCCGCCGTAACGCAGTTCCTGCCGTGGCCACAGTTAATGGAAGATAAAGCACTCACCACAGAGCAGTCTGGCCTCCCCTCTCCAAAGTATGTATGTGTTAAAACAAAATACACTGGAATTCTATTACGTGTCATTTTTGACTTAAAAGTATAGTGACTTTAATATTAAAAAAATACTTCGAATAAGATACTGTGTGCATTCTTTGAAACTACCTGCTCTCAGGTTCATCTGGAGCTTGACAGGAGGTGGTCCAAGCAGGAGCATTACTGCAAGAGGATAAGGTGAAAACCAAACATCTGTTCTCATCAGTCCAACTCTGAGTAAACTCAAGCAACTCCCTACCTGGGCACCTGAGCTGAGGTAGAGTTCAAGGTCTGTCTCAGGCTGTTGCTCTTCCCTCCTTCCCCCTGTGTTTGCTAAGGAAGTAAAAAAAATAGTCTTTCATCAGGCTGGCATTTAAATGTGATTGTCTCCGATATGGCAAATGCGTGCTAACTAACTGTGTGGGGGTGCTGGAGTCTTTTTCTTCCTTATAAGTCCCTTATTAGTCTAGATGCCTAACTCAGAGCTGTGGAGCGGACGGGGCAGCAGTGCAACCCTCTGTGCTTGCTCTGAAGGCTGTCTTGCAAGGAAAGGAGCATGTTAAGTCATATTTTGCTTCTTCCATCCTCTACTAACAGTATTAATACAGGAGTAAGCACATCAAAAGTATTCCCTCATTCTTTTTCGGTTTTGCCTTTTAAGGAAGCATTTTGGAACAAAATTTACTACTTTCAGCTGTTTTCCAGAGCAAATAAAGGCACCACATTGACCAAACACAGCCTTAAGCAAGGGAGCAACAACTCAGAGGGCTGCAGGCACGGAGGCAGCATACAGGTTCTGCTGGGTTGAGGGCAGGAGGTTACAGCCTACCCCTCACCGTTACTGCTCTTGCCTCTTCCACAGGTCCCGTGTTGGTGCTTCAGATAACTCATAATTTGAATGGTGTAGTCTGAGCTAACTTGATCACAGTCTCCTGGGGAAAAAATAATAATGTTTGGATGCAAGAACAGGGGTGTTCAGGCACCACTTTATGTTCAGTATCTTGCACTGATGCCTCTTAACAGGGCAAGCAGGACCCATGCTGTGCTGGCCCCAGGTGAGGCAGGGAGGTGATGCAGTGCAGAACAAGGGCCTGTGGTTAAAGAGGAGGGGAGTAGCAGAGACCCAACAGTGCTCTGTTGAAGCAAACTCTTTGAGAGCCACTTCATCCCTAGGTGCTGGGGTGGGAATGGGACAGAAACATGGGAGGAGTGGAAAACACGGCCATGCACACACGCATGCTTAGGCCACCTGTATCACAAAAAGCCCTGGTGATCTGCTGTGGAACCAAGAGCCTGGGCTGGTGGGAAAGCCTTGCCCTGGGCAGCCCTGCCCTTGCCCAGGCACGCTGCCACGGGCCTGCTCTACAGGTAGGGCAGAGGCAACTGAGCCGTCAGCTCACAGTCAAAGAAACACCCTAAGTGTTCCTTTAACAAAAGATACTACAGCAGCTATTTCTTGGATTTTGCAAAAATATTTAGAAACAATTTCATCAGGTACCCATGCAGCCTACTGCATTTTTTTTTTCTGTTGTTTTGTTGAGGTTTTTTTGCTAATGAGGTCATAGAAGGTAAGGTAGAAATAAGACAACTTCACCCCAGCTCTGGGGTAAGCAGGTATGGTTAAATAAAGGATGCACTCCTCCCCCTAGTAATTAATGTACTTTTTAAAAAATAAATCCCCATAGCCATCAGCTTCAGTTGCTACATCTCGGCTATGAAGATTTTTTGTTTTATAAGGAAATGTTACTAGAGCAGACCAGCTGATTCCAGCTGAGAACCCTTTCTGTTATATACCTATTTATAGGAATGATTCCATTAGCAGGGGTTGCACAACTTGTTTGAAACAGCCTCTTGTTTGCAATAGCTACTGTGTCATTTTTCTAGTACTAACTCTTGATGTCCCTATTTGTAAATTTTTCAACAACTCATAACAGTTACAGATGCCAGTAATTTGTTCTTTGTACCACTGCAAGGTAAGTGTTAGATTCCCCAACACCTGTATAATTTATCTCCTGTAGACTGTAGGACAGCTGAAAATACTTTTTCAAGAAACACTGTGGAAAGTAAAGGGTTTTCCCCCCCAAATTTTGGACAGCCACCTACCCTGGCAGAGTCTACTTGGCCAGCTGCTGAAGTAGTCTTTTTATATATAACTGACATGTAGAGAGTAGTAGCTAATTGATTTTGATCAAACTGAGATATTACATGTGTAAGCCACTTCAGGCAGCGTTATTCCCATTTCCTCCATGAAACACAACTGCTTGGAGACAAAAATGAAGTAACAAAAGTATAATAAAGTCAACTCAAACACTGTAGTAGAGAGTTTTTTGCCCCCCCGGAAACTGCTTGAATAAAGTCGGTAAACCCACCCAGCAGTAGGTAAAGCCACGCTGGAGCAGAGCAAAGCCTGCTGCCCTACTTACCGGGAAGGAGATGGCAGCAGCCCACGCCTCCAACACTTCTGCCACTCGGTGAAAAGCCACAGGTTATTCAGAGGCATGCACGGTTAACAGGCTCTTTGTAAAAGCCATTCTAAGTCTCCTGGTCTTTATAAACACAAAGATGTGATATACAGCACTAAATACAAACATAAAGACTTTATTGAATGCTGCTCAATTCCCCAAAGATCTTTCATTACAAAAGTTTTCCACACAACTGCAATTTAAGAGATTGGAATGGTACTCTGATAAAAGATGTGAAAAATACTTGATCAAGTAAACAGACAAGACTTCTATTATCAAACTTTCCACTTTTAAGAAACAGACTGCATTTTCTTTAAATAAAACAAGGAACTATCCTCGCTTAAAAAAAATAATCACCCCAATTTTGGTCTCATTCTTCAGTCTATGAGATGCTAATACTAACCCAGTCTCTGAGAGACCTGCACTACTCTGCAGGGAGGCCTTGGGCTGATGAGCATCACTGATGGGCTCGCTCTCTGGAGGAAGCTCCATCCTCAGCTGCAGCAGGAGGAGATCTCCAAGCAGGTCTCCCAGGACCGAGAGGGGCCGAGGCACTCACCAGGTGGTGGGTCAGACGCGTGGGCCGCCCTGACCTGTCCAGGCTGACTTGCTCTCCCTACTTTGCCTCGTTCTGATGTGAGCGTTCTGGAAAGGTGAATCTGCATCCAATCAGGAATTCAAGGACAGCACCACAGCTGAGTTCCTTTCAGTGCTGTAAGGGGCACATACTGAATATCTCGCGTTACTGGTAACGTACCTTGGTTTTATTTGAGAAAATACAGCGCAACTAGAAGCCTTTTCTATCATCTTAACCGAAGTATGCAGCAATGTGAAAAGCACATATAAAACAAGGAAAAAAAATGTACATAGCAAACTATACCACCTATGTGCAACACAATCAAAAATTCAAGTCATAATTCTCACCACTCCCATAATTATTTCACTCATTAAGGATGATAATTCAGTTCTATGAAACATTGGAAGTGACAGTATATCAATAATTAGACAATTTACAATATGCTGTGGTAATGACATCACTTAACTGCTGTATTTAAATTCAAATCTTTACATTTGCCAGAGAAAAAATTGGCTGTTTCTATTATACTGATGAGGTTTCTTTTGCAAATCCTTATATATTTCAAAAGGGTACAAAAAAGTACGTCTGCCAAGTAGACAATTCTTTTAGGTGGTCATTTCTTTTATTTGGCACTTGTATTGTGTGCATTTAGCACATTGTGAGTGCTGTTCTGCTTTTCTGCCATAGCCTTCTTAAGCTTTAACTCCTCTAGCTTTCTCCACAACTCTTCACGTTCCAATTCTTTCTTTTTCTCTCTGTAGAAAAGAGAAGTATCAATTTCAGATGTGTTTTAAGTGCAGTGCAGAGATGCAGTTACTTAACAACTGTGATTTACATCTAGTAATTCCTCTTAAGTTTTTCTCCAAAGCTAGTTTTAGAGGCAATTACAGTTTCCTCTTAAAAAGTGAGCATACAAATTGGTAACGGTTCGTGGCAAAACCGTAGCTTTGCTCCAATGAAGTCAGACAATTGCTGTAGTGTGGCTTTGCACAGGCAACTGCAATTCTAAGGAGCTTCTTTATCACATGCAAACAAATGAAAGGACGAAGCATCTTTGGGGGAGAAGAGCACAACTATAGAAAGGAAACTTAGTGCGTGGTCTCAGCTGGCCTAGGATAGCTGGCGCCTGCCTCCCGTGCTCCACCAGTACAGCTTGGCAGGAGAAGAGGGAGGTTTTAGCTGAGCTATGGAGTGTTCTCTCCAGCTCAGCTTTCCTCAGACAACACCCCAAGGCTGTGGAGCCAGCACCAGGCAGCCCCTCGAAGCAGCAGCACAGCCCCCTTTTCCCAGGGAGGAGAGGGTGCGCTCCCTGCCCCAGGGGCCAGGGAGCTGGGGGGTTCCCGCCTCCGCCCCACCACAGCACTGACACCCCGCGTGGGCCCTTTGCTCCCGGGGCACCCGCCAGCAGCAGCAAACACCAGGTGAGCAGCTCCACTACAGAAGCCCAGAGCCACAACAGTTTTTTGTTTCTTCTCAGCTGGTACATTTTAAATACACATTCGTCAAGGTGCATTTGGAAGAAGAATCGGTACCTTTGCCTTTCTGCTTTATATGAGCTTGTAAGTTCATCAAAAAGCTTGCCGTTCATTTCCATCAGGGTTTTCAGCACATTATATACCAGTGCCACAATGGTTCTAGGACAGAAGGAACACAACCATTACAGAAGGAACTCAGCACAAAATTAACTTCAGTAAACAAGAGTTCAATTTCTTTTTGGATGCTGAACTTCTTTCTCAGGATACTACTGTCAGGTCAGAGTTTCTGAAACAAAATCCTTTATTATAATTTCCCCTGTACATTAGTAAAATGCATATTTAAACTTTTTTTTTTTTTTTAAGGCTATTTAACCTTAAATTCATCATTCTTGTAATTGCATAGGATATACTTGTTAGTACTGTGGCTGTACTATAAAGCCATTCAATTACATTAACATTTAATAAACTGAGTTTTAACAACAATTTTATAGTATTTGAGTAATGAAATATGAGAGTCTAGAAAAGTAGAACTCCTGGCTAATAGCTTCAAGACCGGGCAGAAGAATGCAGCAGAGGAACCAGGGGTGT